GGATACCAGGTCTACCCCGGCCGGCGGGTACACGGTCTACCCCGGCTCCGGGATACTAGGTCTACCCCGGCCGCCGGGTACAAGGTCTAGCCCGGCTCCGGGATACCAGGTCTACCCCGGCCGCCGGGTACAAGGTCTAGCCCGGCTCCGGGATACCAGGTCTACCCCGGCCGCCGGGTACAAGGTCTACCCCGGCTCCGGGATACCAGGTCTACCCCGGCCGCCGCCGGGTACAAGGTCTACCCCGGCTCCGGGATACCAGGTCTACCCCGTCCGCCGGGTACAAGGTCTAGCCCGGCTCCGGGATACCAGGTCTACTCCGGCCGCCGGGTACAAGGTCTACCCCGCAGCTGCGACACCAGGTCTACCCCAGCGGCCGGAGACCAGGTCTACCCCGGCTCTTGGCTATCACATCTACCCCAGCGGCCGGATACCAGGTCTCGGCCGCCTCCCGGAAGACCGGTTCTACCCCGGCTCCTGGATATCTGGTCTACCCCGGCGGCCGGAGACCAGGTCTACCCCAGCCCCCAGAACACCAGGTCTACCCCGGCGTCCAGAAAACCAGGTCTACCCCGGCGGCCTGGATATCAGGTCTACCCTGGCGGCTGGAACGCCAAGTCTACTCCGGCGTCTGGAAGACCAGATCTTCCTCGGCTCCCGGACACCACGTCTACCCCGGCTCCCGGAAGACCAGGTCTACCCTGGCTCCTAGATACCAGGTCTACCCCGGCTCCTGGCTATCAGGTCTACCCCGGCGGCCGGACACAATGTCTAGCCTGCCTCCCGGACGACCAGGTCTAGCCTGGCTCCCAGAACACCAGGTGTACCCCGACTGCCAGAAGATCAGGTCTATCCTGAAGTCTGGATACCAGGTCTAGCCTGGCGCCAGAACACCAGGTCTAGCCCAGCTACAGGAACACCGCCCCGGCCCTTTTACCACGCTGACCCGCGGGAGTGGCATTGAGGCCTGTTCACGGGGGCTTTCTGTGCTGAGCATTGGCCTGGCCGTGTTCTTGAGAGAGCCTGGGCAAGGAGCCTGGAGCCCCCAGGCCCTGGCCTGAGGCGTCAGCGCTGCCCCAGCAGTGCCCATGGGCTGTCCTTGCTGCAGCCTTGGCACTGCCACCCCCAGGACTGTGCCCAGCCCCGAGAGCTCTCAGGCCCTGCAGCTACACCAGGGCCACCAGGGCAGCGGGCAGGGCCACGGGAGCAGCACTGGCAGCACCAAGTGCTGCTGCTCCTGGGCACAGCTGCTGTGCCAGCACTGATCTGCCCCCAGCTCTGCATTCAGACATTGCTGCTGCAGCTCCAGAGAAGGCAACAAAAGGGGTTATCTTTGGAACAACCTATTCTGGAAGATCCTTTAGTTCCTTTAAAGCCACCTAGAGCACAGCTCCTCCTGGACACAGTCTATAGTTGCAGGGAAGGTGGAGGGAAACAAAGCAAGAAACGGCACAAGCAATAACATTCTTGAGGACAATATTAAATGTGTAATACAAAGAAAAAGAACCTTTAAAATTAAACCAAAAAGTAGTATCAAGGTGACTCTTATTACAAGTGATTTGCAGAAATTTGCCAGCTAATTAATGTTCTTGAAAGCATCCAGTCATCCATCTCCTCACTGCAGACTTGAGCTCTTGGTTCCTCAGGCTGTGGATGAGGGGGTTCAGGGCTGGAGGAACCACGGAGTACAGAACTGACAGTGCCAGATCCAGGGATGGGGAACGAGATGGAGAGGGGCTTCAGGAGAGCAAACACCGCAATGCTGATGGACAGGGAGTAGGGACTGCCCACCAAGGTGAAGGGAGGCAGGTGGAAAAGGCTTTGTGCCATCCCTGCTCAGAGGGGATCCTCAGCACATCTCTGAAGATCTGCACATAGGAGAAAACAATGAACACAAAACATCCGAGTCCCAAACAGGCACTGACTGCAATTAGCCCAAGTTCTCTCAGGTAGGATTAGGAGCAAGCGACCTTGAGGATCTGGGGGATTTCACAGAAGAACTGGCCCAGGGCAGTACCCTGACACAAGGGCAGGGAAAACGTTTTGGCTGGTGCAGCAGGGATTAGAGAAAGCCACTGGCCCAGGCACCTGCTGCCGTGTGGGCACAAGCTCTGCTGCCCAGGAGGGTCCCGTAGTGCAGGGGTTTGCAGATGGACACGTAGTGGCCGTCGCACATGATGGTCAGGAGGGAATACTCTGCTCCCATGAAGAAGATAAGCAGAAATACCAGAGCAGCACATCCTGTGTAGGAGATGTGCCTGGTGTCCCACAGGGAATTGTGCAGGGCTTTGGGGACAGTGGTGCAGATGGAGCCCAGGTTGCTGAGGGCCAGGTTGAGCAGGAAGTAGAACATGGGTGTGTGCAGGTGGTGGCCCCAGGCTATGGTGCTGATGATGAGGCTCTTGCCCAGGAGGCCAGCCAGGGAGATGGGCAGGAAGAGGCAGAAGTGCAGGAGCTGCAGCTGCCGTGTGTCTGCCAGTGCCAGCAGGAGGAAGTGTCTGATGGAGCTGCTGTTGGACATTTGCTGTGGCTACACATGGGGACCTGTTCATGGAGAAGAGGACAGGGAAGAGTTAGAGGAGATACCTGTAATCAAAATCAAAGCCATTTCCCATACACCCTCCTCCATAACACACAGAGACACCTTTTTGTGTTCAAGAGTTCAGGGGTTTTTTTTTAAGCTGCCCCCATGTGTCACCCTGATTCTTAATATTTTCTAAAGCCTTCTGAGTTTACATTCTTTTGGAGAATTTTCCCACACAATTTCTGTAAACAACATATTGTTTACATTATTTTATGGGGGTGGAGAAACTTGATGTACTAGTGGTTTGTCCAATGTCTTTGGACAGGTGGCCCATTCACTCTCCAATCCAGTGTCACCTTTGGGAAAGTATAAAAGTCGGAGTCAGATAATAAACCTTATTCTTTACCTTGCAAATAGCAGGTGGCTTGTGTTGTGCTTTCACGTGTCCTATAGCGACACCCATGTCTCTCATGTATTCCTGGATATCAGAAACCTTTGGCATTTCTGCTGCACTCATGGAGAACAGAGCAAGTTCTGTGAGGCAAAGTGATGAATGGAGAGTGAGGGGAAATGGCCTGGCATTCTGACCTGTTCCGAGTTTCTCTGGGCTTTAACCTTTCACAGGTGGACGGTGATCACCTTCCCATGCTTCCCCTAAAATGTCACTATGTGCTGCTGAGAGCAGATGGATCCACCACAGCCCAGATCCACTTTTGTATCCAAGGACTCACTTTGCTCATTTCACCAACCCAACAGCATTTTCAGTGTCAGAACACCTCTGCCTTTCCTTATCAATCTTATAACTCAGAGATGCTCTAGGACAGGTTTGCATCCTGGATTGAAGCTCCCAGCTTGGACTGAAATCTCAGGGAGACTTCCAAGTGTCCTTCTGATGGCACTGGATGAAGGGAGGTGCAGCTCCTTCCCTGGCTGCACTGCCAGCATTGCCCAGAGCCGGGCACTGGGGACAGCTGTGTCACCCTGAGCCAGCTGTGCCCCCTGCCAGAGCCCCCAGTTCTGGGCAGCTGCTCCCAGCCCTGTTCTCTGCAGAGGGAACTGGGCCCGGGGCTGCAGCTCTGCCTGCACAGGAGGGGCTGCATGCCTTGGAGCCCCGCCCTGAGGACAGAGGCTTGGCTGAGGCACAGGAGCAAGGGGGCTCTCCCTGCCTCAGCATTTCTGGGTTTTGTTTTCTCTTATTGCCTGGTCTTCTCTCTTCTTCCTGGAGATTTTCCTCCTGCAGGTGTTTCCCTGTGCCTGATCTCTCCCTGCCAGCACTCGCAGACCCCAAATTTCTGTGCACTTTCCTTGGCCCTTCAGAACCCTGTCTGTTTGCAGGGCACTGGCTGGGGACATGTCCTAGTTTAGGGCAAATTTGGGAGAAAACCTCTGGAAGGAGCCCCCAGGAAACAAACCCCCATGGCCCCTCCCCCCCACCTGGTTCGGGAAGAATTTTCTCAGAGAGAAGTGGAAAAAACCTGTTTATTTAACAAACAAAAGACTCCCCAGCACCAAAAAATGAAAAACACCAGATGACAAAAAACTCTTTCATCACTCTGAAGAGATGACAAATCCAGAAATTCTCTCTTGTGACTGATGGCCTGGATCTGGGTGCTGGGGATTGGTCCCCAGAACTGGGAATGCTGCTGCCGATCATGAAACGCAGGCTCTCAGTGCTCCTCGGTGTTCCCCAGGCCCCAGTCCAGAGCAGGTTGGAATGATATTCAGGAAAGGGAAAGGGAAAAAAACACCAGTCCAGGGGAAAAAAACTGGACTGTTTATCTAGACTAACTAACAAGCAAAAGTAAAGGCAAAAACAGAAGCAGGAGCAGGAGCAAGGAAGCAAAGCAAGCAAGCAAAGCAAAGCAAGCCAACCAGTACTAGCCTCTTCTAGACAGCAGACCATGGCGGGAGGTGAGCCAGCTGATAACAAGACAAAACAAACCTTCACTTTCAGTGTCAGTTCTGAAAGCACAGAACATATTATCAAACATAAACAGAACACACAACTGGGGATACAAACACCATAATATCACCCTAGGACAGAGCAGGTTCTGTTTGCAGCTTGAAGAAAGGACAGCTCAGACTGAGCCTGATGGTCCCAGCAAAGGTGATCCTGGTGCTGTCCATGGGCAGAGTGGCTGAAAGCACATTAGGGATCTCCTGTGAACCTATTGATCACTAAAGTAAGATTTCAGATATCTCAGGCACTTGTCAAAATTCGTAACACCTTTAATATATAACCCCCCTCCCTGCCATTCGCCAGTAGTAGGAAATTGAATACAAAGTCTCAGGAAATGTTCCTCATTGTTATCAAAATACTTGTATTGGAAATATTCTATGACTGTTCAGCCCTTAGCAAGTGAGAGCTTCATGAGCATTTCAGCTCCCCTGCACCAGAAATATTCAGGGTTGTACTCACAGAATCTGTGGGCATTGGGATGTTCCAGCTTTAGGACATGGTTCCAGGAGCTGCAGCTGCATTGTCCTGCAGCCAGAGGTTCCTGTGCCAAGGGCTGGCAGTGATTCTGCCCCAGTCCCTTCTCAGCCCCTTCCCAGCCCTGTCTGATTGAAGCCCTGCTGGGCTGGGAGAAGAGCTGCTCATCTGTTGGAGGGTGCCGTGGGAGACAAGACTCATGCTATCATGATCATCAAGTCTCAGTTTATTGTGACAGATTACACAGTTTATATATGTTCGTTAATTAGCTCATACATATTGCAAAAGCCGAGCTCATGATTGGTTGCTATGTGACTTGTACTATTATCTTAAAAGTATCTTTGTGAATGATACTTGCCTGTCCAGCTGGCCTTGCAGTTAGAACAGCTTAGTACTTCTTTGTTCTTCTCTATCTATTTCTACATACCAAGCAGTTTCAATATCCTGCTTTCTGCACACCTGTTGCTCTCATGCTGGCATGGTAGAGTGGAGGAAGGTTTTAGAAAGGCCTTGGGAATGGTAAACTGAGGAAAAGGATACATTCATGTATGCCCCATTGTATTATAAAGGCCTTGGGAATGGTAAACTGAGGTAAAAGATACATTTATGTATGCTCCACTGTTTCGGGAAAGTCCCGCTTCAGCATTCCTCTGCAGACCCCCTTCTCCCCACCCCTGAGCAGTTCCCATTGGACCTGGCCCCTGGGGTGGTTCTGATGTGCCTTAGTTGAACACTGTCTCTATTGTTTAAGACCTTATCTCTTAATTTTGCTGTATAAAACTGTATCTGGGCAATAGCCTGGGGCCTTTGGTCACTGCAATGCTTCAGGCAATACAATCTATCTGGACAAGCATACCATTGGTCTCTCTTGGTCTCTTTATCTCGAATCCTAGCGGCGACTGAGGCTGACCGTGCTAACCCAGCCGCTGCCTGGTAAGCCCAGGGCAGGGGGACCGCGGAAAACCCCGGCCCCGGAGGGGACAGCTAGCCGGAGGGTCCCAGTGGGCCGGGGAGGGACGGGGGACAGCAGCGAGGAACCCCCGAGAGCAAGGTGGCGGTCGAAAGAGAAGCAACACACACCATCTACTCTTCAGGGTCATGCAAACTTTGCAGCAGTCACATAGCCCTCCCTATTTGGATTAATTTTACAGTATCATGTCCCCTGTTGTACAACCATTCCTCTGTCAAGCTCTCTTCACTCATCAAGTGAAATGTGCTTTTGAAGCTCTTCTTGGTTGTCAGGAGCTGCTTCTGTGCCAGGACCCTGGCCCAGCTCATCAGCACAGACACAGCACAAGGACTTTAATGACCCTCTGGGGCTTTGTGCTGAGGCCCTGTCATGGTTTGACATGGAAAAATAATTTTTCTCGGAAGGAGGAGGTCAATCCAGTCAGGGGTCAGTGTTGGACATTGACACTTGGGGTGACCAATTGAGGGTGGACATGCCCCTGAGAACACAGAGGGGTTAAAAGCAGAATTACCAGGAGAACTTTCTCTCTCTTTGGTTCCGGTCAGGGTGCAGTGCAGACTCTCCCCTGCCCAGCCTGTGGCTGGGTGGGGGAGGGGAAGCCATGTGGCCTGACTGAGGTAAGGCCGAAGGATGGAGGGGCTGGAACTGGACTGTCCCTCTGCAGATGAAGGGTGGAGGAAAGCTGGGATGTTGGCGTTTTCCCCCCAGAGTCTCTCTCTCTCGAAAGAAAGGGACAGTGACAGTGCCGACAGTACTCTGGCAGAGAAGGAAGGTGGGGGAAGTGTGCTCAGCGTGGGAGCTGGAGCCTGGGCCGAGAGCCATCCAGGGAGTCGGGACTTTTAACCCTTCCTTGAGAAATGAAAGCTTTGTGAAAACATTATTCCTCCTTGGTTTGAAAGAAGGAAGAGAGACAGCCTTTGACCTGGGATGTTAGGGAAAGAAGACTGCAGGGGAAGATGATGGAGTGGCTTTTGGCTGAACTTTTTCTTGTTAGCCATAGACTGAACCAATTTTCTCCTCCAAGAGAGAGACTGTATTTTAGGAGGATGCGTGGTGAGCCAAGAGACCTGCTTCAGCAACTACCAGTTCAGGAATGAACAGAGAAAGTTGAGGAGGGTGTGATGGTGCCCTCTGTCTTCAGGAAGATGAAGATCTCTGTTTTCACCCTCGGCCCCAGGGGAGGAAGAAAATGGGGAGGACTGTAGTTCCAAAATGAGACACTGGACTGTTGTTCCTGTTGGTCCTTGGCAAAGCATCCTTAAAGGACCCCTATGAGTGGTCTGTCCATGCACGGTGGTGAGAGCACTGTGACATGGAGAGTGTCACACTGGCAGATTCACTCTGGGCAGTGCTGTGATATGGAAATACAAGAAGTGGCATCTGTGTTTCCTGGGGGTCTATGGTGCAAGGGAGACTCCTCTCTCCCCGATGGACTTAGTATTGATTATATTGAAGGGTGAATACTTGGTTAAGGGTCCAAGTGGTGTCTCACTGTGGTTTGTTGGAGTTGGGTGGTGGGAGGAGGAATGTTTTGAAAGGTTTTAATTTTGGATTTTGTGTGTGTTTTTCTTTTTTCTTTTATAGTAGTATAGTAGTAGTAAATAAAGTTTTAATAAAGTTTTTTTTTTTCTTTGTTATTAAGTTTGGGCCTGCTCTGCTCTGTTCTTGATTGCATTTCACAGAATTCAATTGAGAGGTTGCATCTTCATGGGGGCACTGGCATTGTGCCAGCGTCAAAACAGTGACATGAGGCTTTGGTCACAGATTATGCATGAACAATCCAGAACCTCCTGTTTTCTTAATGAATTTGTATCTTGGGTATTTTGTCCTTGCCCACACAAGCTAGAAAATTAAGGAAAACATGCACAGTGATTGAGAAAACACAGTGCAATTTAGGGACCATTCAAGAAAATCATGGTTCAATTGCCTATATGTTTTATCCAGAGATGATTCAAACAATTGCTGCTGAAGAACTTATACCATTAACTTGATTACAAATTTTCAAAGGCAGGTAGAGTTGCTCTTCCTGCTCAAATAATTTAACAGGATTCTTGCTATTAGCAATTAAATTATTATTTGATTCTAGCTTAATATGATTTCAGAGATTCATTATAGCTCTAAAACTGTAGAATACTGTGTGCTTTGTGGATAAAAAGACCATAGAACTGTTAACAATTTTAAAGATTTATGTCTATCTTATTGATTGGTCAGGGTAATATGTGAGCTCCTGTGAAATCCTTTTACAAAACATTACAGCTTATCATACTTAACTTGAAAGGATTCCCTGTCTTTACCAGGTGTTAATTGCAGAGAATCACAGAATCAATTAGGCTGTAAGAGATCTCTGAGATAATTTCATCAAGCTTTGGACCAAACACCACCTTTTCAAGCAGACCAGAGCACTGAGCATCATGTCCAGCTGGTCCTTGAACACCCTCAGAGAAGGTGGCTCCACCACCTCCCAGGGCAGGGCCTTCCAATGTTTAACAATCCTTTCTGTGAAGAAATTCCTCCTGATGTGCAACTTAACCTCCCTGGCGCAGCTTAAGACCGTGTCCTCTTGTCCTGTCACTGTGAGGAGAGTCCAGTCCCTGTCTAAGTACAACCTGTCAGGCTGGTGTAGAGAGTGACAACATTCTCTGTTGCCCTGATTTTTAAAAGTGTTACGTTTTCCTTTATAATTCTTTAGAAAGTTTTAAAGCTCCTTTAAAAGTTTTCTATGCCTTCGGATGTTTACATATTTCTACTGGAGTTCTCACACACTGTTCACGTAAATAATGATTGCTTTGCATTCTTCTTTGTGGGAGGAGAGAATTGATGGACTGTTGGTTTGACCAGTGTGGTTAGAGAGGTGGCAATTTCATCCTCCAATCCGCTCTCACTTTTAGAATTCTATATATTGGTAAGTCAGAAATTAAAATATCTCTTTTTCTCTTTTGAACTTACCAAGCTTCTGTGTACTCATTTCATGTCCAATAGCGACAGTTCTCCCTGGGCCTCCTTTGCTCAAGATTGAGCCCTCCCCAGCTCTCTTTGTTCTCTCAGCCATTTCTCATCAGACTTGTTCTCTAGACCCTTAATCAACTTACTGTCTCTTCTCTGGACTTGCTCCAGCACTTCAGTGTCCCTGTTTGGATGAGAAGCTGGGTTAGAGGTGGACCTGCTGGAGGGCAGGAAGGCTGCAGAGGGCCCTGGACTGGTTGGATCCACGGGCTGACAGCACTGGCAAGTGCCGGGTCGTACACTTTGGCCACACTCACCCTCTGCATCTCCCAGCTGTGGAAAGAGTGGCTGGGAAGCTGACTGACAATGGCTGAACCTGAGCCCAGGTGTGCCCAGGTGGGCAAGAAGGCCAATAGCACCGGGCCTGTATCACCAGTAGTGTAGCCATCAGGACCAGGGCAGCGATTGTCCGTCTGTGCTGGGCATTGGTGAGGCCACACCTCGAGGGCTGTGTCCCTTTCTGAGCCCCTCAATAATAATTAAAGTTTCTCTAGCAATTGCTTTATTCATTATTTGCCTCCCTTCCCTGCCCAGCTGTGACTGGAACTACACCAAAGGGAAAGTGTCTGCAGCCGAGGGAAGGCTGGGCTTGGGTCTCTGGTTCTCTTTGTTGTTGCTGCTGGTGTTGGTTGTTTGCCTTGTACATACTGGTAAAGAACTGCCACTCCTTTTTCCATATCTTTGCCTGAAAGCCCCTTAATTTCAAAGTTATAATAATTTGTAGGGAAGGGGGATCTCATTCTCCATTTCAGAGAGGTCTGGCAGACACCTGTCTTTCAAACCAAGACAAGCTGACAATTAACAATTTATTAACAATTGTTTATTAACAGTTAACTGACAATCACCAATTACTTATCAATCTAATCAACAATTAACTTAGTTAATTAACTAGTTAATTAACTAGTTAATTAACAAGTTAATTAACTTAGGTAAGACAGAGGTGCTCACTGGGACTTGGGAGGGTAGCTGCAGAGGTCTCTGGTAAAGAGTGGGAGACCACCAGCAGCAGAAGGCAGGATGTCACCAGCTCCTGCTGCATGCTCCAGCTGACACAAACGTTGTCACTCAAGTGTTGGTCTTCAGAGCGCCTCCTTCTTGGGTCCCTGGCCTTACTCTGTCTCTTCTACTGGTTTATCCAGACTGTCCTTCTCCTGGGCTCTGCCTTCCAAAGTCACCTGCCCCATCTTCTGACCTGGCTGCAGGTTAGGAATCCTAGGAAGAGAGGGACTGGTATTAGCCAGAGGAATATTCCCAGCCAGCTGCTTTTCTGTCTCCTTGCAGAGCACACAGTGTTGCATCCTCTCTCTGTGCAAGCAGCAAGCAGCAGATTTAACAGCTGCACTAGCTGCATGGAGGCTGCAGAGGTGCAAGGGCAGGAACATGACCAGTTAAATGCCCGGGACCAACTACAGCACATGGGGCTCCATGTGGAGAAGCAGGCCTTGCTTGTCCTAAAAGGAAGCAGAGCTGGGGACTAGCTGGTCCCTGGATCTCTCCTTGCAGATTTTGCAACCCTCCACGAGCTTACTGTTTATACAGTGTCTTTTCCCAGTGCCTCCCTGCCAAGGGATGAAAGATGATGATGAAAGATGAGGCTCTTTCTGTGCTCCTGTGGGTGTTTCTGCTGCCTCCCTGGGGCTCCCCATCCTAGTCAGAGGGACTGAAGGGAGGATGTTGGGGGATGAACCAGGTTGGGCTTGGTGATGCCCAGCAACAGGACAAGAGGCAATGGGCAGAACCTGAACAAGACAATTCCACCTGAACCTGAAAAAGAACTTCTTTCCTGTGCAGGTGATAAATTGCGCAGAGAGGGTGTGGAGTGTCCCTCACTGGAATTATTCCAGAGCCCCCTGGACACAACCCTGTGCCACGTAGTCTGGGATGACCCCGCTTCAGCAGGGAAGTGGGACCAGATGACCTACCATGGTCCCTCCCACCTTGTCCCACCCTGTGATTCAGTGATACCCATCAGTAGCATGAGTTGGCAAGCATGGAGATATTTCCCACCTGCACAGCAGGGTGGTCTTAAACTCCCCCATGCACTTCGGGAAGAACTGCACATCAAAGGTCTCCTCCTGGCCAGGAGCAATGATGCCATGGTAGGGGTTGATGGAGAACAGGTCATGGACAACATCTGGAAAAACTTCCAGGGAGGTGCTGACACAGTCCTCCTGCTCGGAATACTGCTGCTGCTCAAAATCCAGCTCCTGCTCGAAATTCAGGTCCAGCTCAGAATCCAGCTCCTGCTCAGAATCCTGCTCGGAATCCTGATTGGAATCCAGCTCCTGCTCAGAATCCTGCTGCTGCTCAGCAGGCCACTGCAGCTGCTGTACTTTAGGATGTGTCTCCAAAGGCTGGTCCTGCTCCGACCAGAAAAGACGCAGCAGCTTTCTGCGATGCTTTACAGTATCATAGGAGAGGAACCGACCTGCAGGGAGGAAGAGGATACCTTTCAAAGACAAAATCCTGTGTTACCAGCAACTCTGCCTCCTGCTGCGGGTAGGTGGAAGAGAGCTGGGATGCACTTGGAGAATCTCTGGTCAAGTACTTTATTCTAGCAGGAGACAGTGTTGGAAGCAGGGTCTCTGCCTGAGCACACATGCCTGCACCAAAGCAGGAGAGTTGGTTTTAGACAGTGACTTTGCATTTGCCCTGGAGTGGGGAACTGCACACAGACAGTAGCTGCAGGGCAGCTCACTCATTACACCACTGTTTTTCCCAGTCTCAGATTTCTCAAAGAGATGACCTGATGTCCCCCTTCTCAGTCTTGACCTGACACGTGGCTCTCCCCAGAGCCTGGCTCAGCTGCTTTGCAGAGCAGAAGTGGCAGAGCAAGAACAGAAGGGGCTGAAAGGCAGAGGAGCACAAGGAGAAAACTCTCCAGCTGCAGCTGGGAAGCTGCTGATGAAAGTGGATGTATGGACAAAGATGGAAAAGCAATTCATGTTTTGAACTGAAGTGGCAGGGTCTTCTCCCCGGGCCCTCAGCTACCAATGCAGCTACTCTTACGCATCAGAGTGGTTGAGTATGGCTTCTTCACTGGTTCACTCTCTGCAGGTTTCTCCCAGGAGTATTTCAGAGCTACCTCGCCTGTGTTTTGCAGTGTGAAACTAAAAAGCAAGAAGAAGGAATTAAAAAATGTCCAAGAAGTATAAAGCAAATAGTACAGTAATATTGTCTGATGGACACCTGATACCACTTTCTCCTGAGGAGCATCTTCCCCAGGCAACCCTGCCATGCTCAGACTGCTGTCCTAGGTGGCCCAAGAAAATATTTCAAAGTCTGGAAGTTTAAGAGAAAAGGGCCAACATGGTGCCCAGGACATTGAAGCTAAGGGGTTTGCTCTGGACTTTAGGTCTTGGTTTGACTTATTGCAAACTTATTCTTGAGCAGATGAGGACAGGTGACATGCAGTGAAAGCAAACCCATGGCTGTTCTCAGCAGAAAGGTATGGCAGCATTGAGCCTCTCCTGAGCACCACCTCCTGCTTGGCTTTGCGTGCACGTAAAAGGGGCTGTGCTGGTTTGGGTGGGGTAGAGTTCTGGGAAGCAGTTCTGGGTCAGCCCTGGGCAAAGGCAGCTCCTGCTCACAGGGCCTCCAGCACTCACGTGGCTGTCCCTGTCTGGAAGGGCAAGGTATTCTTGAACTGAATCATGGTCGTGCTCAGCTTGAACTGGGTGTAGGCAACCACAGCACTGAGGTACACCTCGAACTCCTGGCTGCTCTCCTCCACCACAGTGTGAGCCGGTTCCGGAGCTGTCTTGACCACCTGCAAACAGAGGAGGAAAGAATCACTGAGCAGAGCCCAGAAAGTCAGGCTGAGAAAGGAATCTTCTGGCCTCCAAGATCAGCCTCACGGAGGGACTAGAAAGGACCACTCACTTTTACTTCCCTGGAAAGATGACAACATTGAGACTGCTCTGCTACAGTAGTTGTTTCTGCCTACTGATCCAAGCAGTCACTACCACACTGTTAATATACCCAGAGAGACTACAGCTGCATTCCAGACCCTGTACTTCAATCTTGCAGAGGGCCTGGCTTTTTTCCTGGTCCCCTATAAATCCAGCAGGTCTCCAAATTAGGGTTAAGTTCCCCTAGTGGAGCTCTGTGGATGGAGAACCCCAAGAGTGAAGAGTTCTAGAAAGCACCTTTTTCTTCTTGTCTTAGAAGAAAGTGCTCTCCAGGTCTCCTGTCTGGAGCAACTGCTGGGAGCTGGGGATGGGCATTTTGGGATGTGAAAGATCTCACTAGGAAAGTCTCCAACTGCAGATATTCTGATAGAAAAGAGGATGGTTTAGAGGCCTTAAAATGGTCCAGAAACTAGGAAAGAACTTCCACCCAAGATGAGTGTATTTGGCAATAATGACATTAAAAGTAAGTCTCTTTGGAGATGATCCTTCTCCAGACTCCTCCATAGAGTCATGCAGTGCCTGGGCTACTCCATGATGAGATATCCCACACCCAATACAGAGACCACAACCAAATTCTGATGCAGACAAAACTTGGAGTTCACCAGCACATGCAGGAGAAGTGTATTTCTCTCCACTTCAAAAGAAGAGACAGAGGGCAGCAGACTAAACTCCTTGTTGGTGAAAAGGCACCAACCAGCTGAAGAGATTTCTAACACCGTAAAATGGGATAAAATCGTAAAACATTGCCTTCCATTCAACATGGGCTGCAACACTTGTGTTTGTGGCCCAGACTGCGGGTTTGGGTGTGGCTGAAGGTGTCTTGTCAAAAGGCTTCCCCCTCTCGTGTGAGTGTATCCGGTCACTGTGCCTCCACCTCTCCCCTGGAATGCATTGCTGGTGAACCTCACAGCTGTCCAATGTCCAGAGGAAGCAGGAGATGCTTAGCCGGCAGTGATGGTGTTCCAGTGGTTCTTTTTGTAAAAGCTGGGTTGGCTTTTTTTGCCATTTTTCTTCTTACCTGCTTTATTTTAGGCCACTTGGCGGCTGCCAGGTCTTTCCTGGTGGTATCCTTCCATGTGACAATGCACATTTGGTCATCCCAGTCAGGAACCTTCTTTTGTGGCAGCTCAAAATTGACCTTGGTCATCTTACATTTCACAAGGTGCCTCCTGAAGGTGGCTGGGACATCTGATTTCAAGATCACTGTGATGTCCTTGGCACAGCCAGGATGCAGGTGTCCCACCTAGGGAGAATCAGGGAGTCAAGACCAAACTGGAACCACTGCCAAGGGCAGGACTGACAGCAAAAGGGACTGATGGACATGGTGAGCAGCTGTGCCAGGAATCTGCACCTCAGAGTGGATTTACGTGAAGTTTGATAGACAAAAGTATGAACAGAAGGTGCCACCTCCCATAACATGAAGCCTTTTCTGCAAGGCTGGCAGCCTTGGCCTAGCCAAGCCAGAGACTGCATCTCCCACGTGGCACTGGAATGGGCTATCAGTGGTATGTGAGCACTCCCTGCCAGCTCCTGGGAACACCAGGGCAAGGCTTGAGCAATGGGGAAAGGCAGAGCAGTCCATGCTCACCTTGGGGGAGAACAGGAATGGGGCGTCTGCCTCCCACTCAAAGCGCATGAACTGCTTAAGGCTGCGGTTGGTGATGGCGAAGGTCCTGTAGCAGCGCTTCCCGACAGGACAGTCTCCAAACTCAATGTGATTCACTCTAACAGCTGTTAAGGAGGAGACCAAGGGATCTCAGCATGCAGGGAGCTCCACCTGCCCCCCTGATGTTCACAGACACCTGCGTGTTCAATGCTTCCTTGCTCCAAGCCTTCCCCCCTCTGAGAGGGAGCTCCCCAGGCAATTTCACCACTTCCAGGGACACATCCCTAAGCCAGCAACATGCAGCACAGCACACACTGCTCTGCATGCATGGCTACCATGCCCACAGGCCATCAAGTCCCGTGGGTGACAGCCCAGGCCTGGCTAGAGGGAGAACACACATGATCAGATATTTTCCTCTTCCTTGTTCCACATTGGCAGTCTCTCCTCTCTTACCATCGATGACGTCTTTCTTCAGACTGCTCTTAACATTCCTTTCCTGGGTGTCATCCTCTAGTCCAAGCAGGGTGAATTCGTCCTTGTGGCCTTCACCCACCAACTCTATTAGGGTCTCCTTAGAGTAGCTGTCCTTCACTAACACATAAATCTTCCCTTCCAGATGTTGAGCCAGGGTGGGTTTGAAAATTACATCAAACTCAGCTGATTGCCCAGGACTCAGAAGGAACAAAGGCTTCTTTGGGAGCTTGCTTACTGCACAGCAATGGAAATCAGAGTTAGGTGGTACAGCTGTACACAGGAAATATTTCCATAGCATACATGAGGAATAAGAGGTTGAAACCAGCTGCCTTCTTAGCACAGGTTCTACCCCCAGTGGTTCCAGACCCTCTTCCTCTGTTCACAAGATGGCCACCTCCAGACACAGCTTAACCTCAGGCTGATGCCCAGCCCTCATTCCATCTGCTTCTAGCCAGCTCCAGCCATATGGAAATCTTAGCCAAAGAGTGCTTTGGATTTCTGCTGGCTGTCTGTGTGCTCAAGGGCTGTGTCTGTTCAGGCTGGTACCTTCCCACGTGCAGCAAATACCTCAGAGGGTCCCCTGAGGTAGTGGCAGTCCCCCACAACTCAACCCACCACGTCTAGAATAACAGAATTTGCTACAGCTTGCTAGGAGGAGACCCTGCAAAAAGCCTCCAAGAAAAGCTTGGGGGACAGACAGCCCAAGGAAAGAAACTGTGCCAAACATCTGGCTGCTGCTCAGAGAAGCCAAGAGCAGGGCACAGGTTTTCCCTCTTTGCATGATCACACTTCATGGTTAATGGATTTACCTTTTCCAATGAATTCCTTTTCCACATCTCCAGTGTGGAATACCTTGACTGGGGAGGCCCTGCCTTTCAAGAAGAACATTCCATGCTCATCCTCCAGGAGTAACATAAACTGAGAAAAGAGAAGCCAGAGCACAAGGATACTGCGAGTACAGAATGGCACAGGGACTGACACTGCAGTGCTGCTGGTCCCACACGGGAGGCCAGCACCTCTCCCACTACCAACAGCACTTAGCACAAAAGTTAAGTCAAACCAGCTGGGAAAAAAGGGCGTTCAGAGGCATCTGGATAGAAGTGACACAGAACCAAACAGGGCAGAAAGTAATGAGCAGAATGTAATTAAACCACATCTAAGTCTACTTAAAATGTAATAAACTGGGATCAAATACAATCTAATGGAACTGGGAAATCACACATGCCCATGAGAACAAAAGGTGATCTGAGAGACACGGGAAAATACTCCACCACCTTTCTTGTGTTCAACTTAAAGAAGAAAGACGGGGCGAAAAATTTCCAAGAACTCCCTTCTTGGAGAACAGATGTCAATCACTTGTTTAAAAAGAATTTCTGACACCTCTTTCCAGGTTTGCCATGTTCCTTGTGACCCTTCCCCTGTGCCACCAGCACTTGTTCCCAAACCAGACCATTCCTCGAGCAGGTCCTCCTCACCTTGACAGGTATGATGCCATTGTTATGGATGACCAGGGGGAGCACCTCTGAATCCCACAGCTGGAGCCTCTTGAAGCACAGCATGGCGTTTCCCCTCTTGCTGCGAGCACTTGGGCACACGACTGTCAGCCGCGGCTTGTGCCCCTTCCCACTGATGGTGAAGGTCAGGATTTGGGGTTCAATTCCCACAGAGCTGCAGGAGAAGCACAGAAACAATTTCAGCTGGCACTAACCCACTTCTCACTGGGCAAGCGAAGCAACAAGGGCCACCCACAGTGTTTTCCCTGCCTGGTGCTCCTGTACCCCACAACACAGCCCCCCACCAGCCTCTTCCCAATCCACTCAGGGCCATTCACAAGAGGAATCTGCTCCAAAGAGCCAGAGCCTTCCACAATAACAGTTAAAAATAATTTCACTTAATTGAATTATGCAGCACAGCAGGTAAATGAGAAGGCACCAGATGAGATATGGCAAATCCCCTGGTTACAGTGAGATGAGACTTATGCAATGAGCAAAAGAACAGCATGAAAGCAGTACAAAAGCAAGAAGGCAAATAGAAATCATTGTCACTATCAGTAAAGACCTTTTCCAAGAACAGTAAAAAAGCAATTGCTTATTAGAAATTAGACTTCTCTTGCTCCAATTCAGCCACTAAAGGGTTGAGGAAGGGCAGGTCAAAGCCCCAGTCCACAGGTCCCAGGGCAGAGGAACTGGGCTCCTCTTTCATACCAGCTCCAATCACTCACATAAAATAGCTTAATGAATGCCAGGGAGTCACAGAGGATCACTTAATTTTACAGAAACAAAGAGAAAATGTGACTGCTGACTTGCTGGCACAGAAACTGCTTCATCTAAGCCTTTGTCGTTGGAAACCCCCATCTCAGCTGCAGCACATCTCAGTAACTTGCAGTTGGCCACCTGTAGTATTTCCCTGTCTTCACAGTTCCTCACACAGGCAAACCATCAGCCTCATTCTCCTGCTCTAAGGACTATTGGCTATCATCTCATGCCAAGTACCCTGCCTAAGGCTACTGACAGCATTAGCGCTAACAAGAGGTCTGTGCCTTCCCAGGGGAGAGGCAGCTATCAGTGAGGCCTCCCCCAGTATTTCACAGGGTCAGTTACCCTTTTGGGATGACAAGGGAAGCCTTGAAAGTGCAGTTGTAGTTCTGCTCCTCTGGTGGGGTGAAGGTCACCGTAGCAATGGCATAGGATGAGCCAGGAATGGACATCTTGACTGGATACAACTTGAAAATGTTTTTGATAGGGCTTTTTTCCTTGGGGGAACCCAGAGAGCAGTGTTAGGAGGAAACACCTTTCAACCTGACACAGTTTTATCCATAAATGCATTAATGATAGCAGTCCCAGATACTGTGTCTTCCTTCCTGCTTCCCTGGGCAGGTTCCCTCCCTCCCAGGGAATGCTGACCTTGTGCTGAAGCACTGTGTGTTTTGAGGGCTGGCAGCTGCCCCAGCCTATATGGGAGGTGGGCATTGCATGGAAAACCCTGCAAATAACCTAGAACTGGCCTTCAAGGAAAAGGAAAAGCCAGGGAGCCTGAGAAAATGCTCTACTTTGAGCCCTGGCATGTCAGGTCATAACATCCCCTCTCTGTGTGTGCTTCCCAGAGAGGTTCAGAAGGATTCACTTTTCCCACTGAAGACCCAGAGGTGTGAGCCAAAACCAAGATATGCAGAATTCCACACAACTGCTCCCTGGCTCCCTGGCTGCCCTCCCCTGCAGTTTGACCTGCACTGAGCTAGCCTTGTCTGGGCCACAGGATCAATGCACCTGGAGAACTAAACAGGCTCTCACACGGCCCTTAGAGGGCAACCACCTCCTTGGCCTTCTGTTCCACCTTGGCCTCCTGTTCTTACCTCTCCAGACAGTGGTTTGATGGAGAGGACCACGTCACATGGCAGATGGCGTGCGTTGTAGATACTGAAATGAGCTTCAGCCTCTTGCCCAACCTGAATATTGCTGAAGATGAATCTGTTCTCATCTGTGACAAATAGGCCAGTGCCTTTCACTGACTGCAGCTTCTGCCCGAGGTTGGTGCTGCTGCAGATCGGGTAGTCCTCAAAGATTGATGTGACATCCTCAACAAGTGCTGTGGACACACCAGAGGGATGAGCATGGAGAAGCCTCCCTGATGAGTTTATCTGGACCCTGCTGGCCCCTCAGAAGGCTTGATAAGCCCTTTCTGCCTGGGTGACTGCTAAACCCAGCCTTGGGTGTGGGAGCTGGCTGAGGATAGAGCTCAGTCAAACTCAGCCTTAGAGAACGTTGCTTTCCTTTTATCCTTCTATACATCCCTCCCAGCTGGGAGGGATGAGTCCACTGGTGGACTCGAAGAGGGCTGTAACCTCTGAGGATTTTAAGGAGGGAACCCAGGGCTAGCATGGCTCTCTGTCCAAGCAGCAAGTTCAGGTGCTGATCAGCAACAGATGTGACCAAGGGCACTGTGGGCAGTAGGTACCTGGGAGGCAGGACTTGGCAATCAGGGTACAGGGAATGCCAAGGGGATTGTCCTTAGGGTCTCTGCCTGTGATGTCAATGTAGAGCTGCTTCTCACACGTCCCCTCCTGCCTGGCAAGGCATTCCACTGAGATCTTCTGCTGGCCCCCAGGACCGATGGAACCGGAGCAGGGGGACACCGTGAACATGCCAACACTGATGTGACTCTGCAGGAAAAGTTCCAGGAGAGGCTGATGGCTAATGGTTGTGCCTTGAGCACCTCAGCAAGGAATATGTCCTGCCTTGGCTGCCAGCTGGGCCCAAACATCCAGTCCCAGGGTAGGGAAGGATGACTCCATGGCCCAAAGGCAGCCCCAAGCTGAGAGCAACAAGCCAAGAGGAGCTGCAAGCCTGTCCCAAGTGGCAGAGAGAAAGGAGTTTGAGTGTGAAGACTGAAGGTGGTAGCTGTGATCCTCCAGAGGTAACAGAAATAGCAGAGAGCAGAAATAACTGTGAGAAATGATGGGAGGGAAGTGGGAAGAAGAAAAAGCAATGTTGTCTGAGCTCTGTGGACTGGGAGTTCAGTGGGGGATGTTTTTGCTTCTGTGGTGTCCACAGACCTACGCTGGCTCACAGCTAGCAAACACAGGACCTGCTCCCCCCTCTGTTGACCCTACAACTCCAGGTCAGAGCCAGAGTACAGAACGTTCAGTGGGACTGAGCAGATACTGGACTCCATCCTGCAGACCATGTCCCACCCTGTGGCAATGAGCCCCCAGCCCGGGCACAGCAGCATCTTCTCACATCCCTTGCAGCAGCACTACTGGGGAGCAGGAGTCATTCACCTGTGTTGAGGAGCTTGATTTCCTTCCTGTTGAGAGCTCTGTAGCTGATGGAGCAGATTCCCCTTGCTTTGAACTGAGGGGAGAAAGCAAAGATATCTGTCATGCTGAGCTCCCCTGCCTTCCTCTGAGGCTGAGGCTGGCCTTCCTCCTCAGAGAGGAAAGCCTTCCCGCTCCTGATGGCTCCAAGAGAGCAATCTGCAGCTCCCAGTGCCAGACAGAGCAGCTCTATCACCAGCTTCACACTACACGTGGGGTACCGAGGTGGTTTTTTGCTCCCTCTCCCCAGACCAGGGATGCAGATGAACAACAGCCCAGGTCTCCTGGCTGCCTGCCCCTTACCAGCTGTGGGGCGCTGCCTCCTCACACAGGAAGGGTGGTGCAGGGCTTCTCCTACCTTTTGCTTTCCAATGCTGATGCCTCCTCGGGTGCTTGGCGGATGCAGAATTTGAAGTTGAGCGTGCCTTTGTTCTCCAGCACGACCATCAGGGTCTTCCTGGTGCCCTTGACCATGGCTCCAAAGTTGATGGGTGAGGCAGGCTCAACACTGCACTTGCTGTACTCGGCTTTTGCCGACACCCTCAGTGGGATGTTGCCGACAAGCTCGCTTCCTTCACCGGAGCTGGCATCTCTCACCTGTGTCCACAGGAAGGGAGGCGACCAAAGCAAAGAGGCCAGCCTCCACCCCAGCCCCCAGCCTCCACCCCAGGCCTCCAGTTTACCCCTCCCATTTTAGGCACCTCCTCCAGAGTCCACTTAGGAATTCTCAGCTCCACTTAGGAAGCCTCCCAAATGGTTTTGAAAGACTGTTTGTGTATGTAGGAGAGAGGATTTTCCAGTTAAAGCCCTCCTTCCATTAGACACCTGTGGGAAGCCAGGGAAAGGGGAATATCCCCCTGTCTGCTCTGGGGTGCTCTGACTCCCAGGAAAACACTGACTTTGACCCTCATTTATGGAGAAAACTTCCAAAGCCTCAAGGTAAACTAGAGACCACAAAAGTGTGAAACAGATTGTAGAGAGTACTTGAGTATGTCACATGGGTGAGAAATTTAGGTTTTAGCATTTTTAGTATGTTATAGATGGGTTCAAGATGGAGGATATAGGGTGTTGTCTTGAGTTCCTTTCTTCTTTCTTTTTTTTCCTCTTTCTTCTTGGTTTTAGGTGGTATCTTGTACTTAGGTAGAAAAATCTGCATTGTGGGTCTTTAGGGGTCAGTTATTGGGTTAGAAAGGGAAAAATGTCACTTCTTAATTGGAAAGTTTAGCTTTTGATTAGACTTAAAAAGACCTTGCAGCACGAGGTTGTTGGCCATTTTTGTGCTGTTTTCACACATGCAAGGTCTGGGCGCAGACAGTGTGCTGAAGTTTTGATAAGACAACAATAAAACAAAAACCTGAAGACCAAAGAAGTCCAATGTGTCTCTCATTCCTGACACAGAACTGTTCCAGGAGGGTCTCCCCTGCCAGGGGAGCCCTCAGGGAGTTGCCCAACTTGGGGCCCACCAACTCACAGGCACCTATCCTGTTTATGCTCCCAAAACACTGTGTGATAATGCAGCCTGGCCCAGGCAGCTCACCTGGCAGTACAGGATGGGTTTGTTCTTGAGGAGGATTTCTCTTGTGGGGTGGAAGATCATCTCAACATCCACACCAGGCTGGGAGGCAGTCAGCACGCCCGACTTAGGCTCAACAGTGAAGTGGGATGCCAAGTCTTGCATCCTGGGACCTGCATCCTTCAGCATGAAACTGGGGAGAAAGGGAAGGGGTGGAGATCTCTGCAGCTAAAAGTATTGGTGCCTCCAGCACAGCCTGGACTTTGCATAGGACCAGAAAAAAAGAAAAGGGAGAGTCCAGCTCTGCTCAGGGAATCTTGGATCTTGACAGAGAGTGCAGACAATCACAAGGTTACTGCAAGAAACCTCAACACTGAAAGTTTTCATTCATTCCTTTACAGAGTCTCAGAAAGAGAAAGGAGGTGACCATCAAAGAAAGGCAATGAATCTCAGCATTTCAGTGGCTGACATTTCTGGGGCTCTCCTTTGGGCTCCAGCTGAGCTGTGAAGAACTGTTGGTTTGTGGCTGGATTCTCTGGTGAAATAACCGATACTAGAGAGCCCAGGGTTTGTACTTACCACGAGGTAGCCCGCATGGAAACAGGTTCTAGCCATTGACAGAGGGAGAATTCAGGCCTGGGAATCCGAGGAAATGCTCACTACTAGGCAGCTGGGCTTACCTGTACTCAATGTTGTATGCCCCTTTGTTCTGTAGAGTCAGGACATGCTTTGCATTATCAAGGACATTAATGGTTCCAAATTCCAAGCTTCCATCTGGACCTGCAGAAAACCCACAGAGCGAGGTCAAACACGGTATTTGTGAGCTGCTGCAGAATACACCAGGTCAAAAGCTACATGGAGGTCACGGCACAAAACCCTTTTCAGTAAGTTTCCATTCTTGAAGGTGTTTTCCAGCTACTTGTCTACCCTTTCTCTTCCCACTCAAAATATCTGCAGGCTTAGTAGCCAAGGAGCTCAGCTCCCATTTCCTCACTTCCAAGCACAAATCCAATTACTTTATATGCTGTGCTGAGCCTGTGGGGATTGCCAACTGCCTGTTCACATCACTGCTGTTTCATAGCCCCCAGATCCGATCTGCTCATGAAGCTGCACACTTCAAGGGTCAGAGGGAAGAGACTTAAGGCTGTCAGTGCCCTGACGATGCTTTATTCCACACAGCTTGCAGGGTATGTGCTTTATGTATCCACGCCATCCTTGCATGCTGTCCCATCCCATCCCATCCCATCCCATCCCATCCCATCCCATCCCACCCCCGTGCTTTGGTCACCCAAAGGTGATGCAGTGCACCTGCACTGCTTTGTTTGGGAGGCATCCACTGACCTTCAGACATGTCGATGCTCAGAGAAATGTCATAGACCTCTGCAGAGATTTTGATGTTTTCGGCCTGAACGATCCCCAGGATGTTTTCTGGATCTGAAACCTGAGGCAGCAAGAATCAAACACTACTCAGATTGTTCTTTTGGTAGACAGCCTGTAAGTCCTTGTCTCTGCTGGCTGCTTCCCCTGTGGCCTCCCCGGCTTCACAAGTGCTGGAGGACTCCCAAGCTTTGCTGTTTATCTCATGGGCTGCCCCAGTGGGATTCTGCCGCAGTAAAAAACCCTATCAGCCCAACTCTGCACTCTACAGCAGGGAATGCTCTCTAGGAGAGGCACAGAGATGTAAGAACAACCACAAGTAGTGTGAGGTGTCTCAGAGCAGGAGGCATTGACAACCCTCTCCAATCACTTAGCACCTTCTCTGAAATACACACCCAAACCATGGGGAACAAATCCCAGGGGGAGAGTTGTTGCACTGTGCAAGAGCTTCAGACAAAGTCCAATGTAGAACTCACGCTGCAGTCTGTACAAGCAAACAACAACCTTCAAGCACCCACAGGGACAAGGTTGTGGTACAGGCTCAGGGTGCAGTGTCTGGTTATCTGGGGGGACGTGGATGCACTGCACATTCTGGCAAACACTGTGCAGAGGCAGAAGTTGGGGTCACAGCACCCTTGTGTCTGTCAGGTGCAGCTCTTCCTGCCCCTTGCCCCCAGCAGCACACAGCCCCTCTCACCTCTAGCTGGAGAGTCTCCTCAATGCTGCCCATCTGCCCGGCCCTGAAATGCACTGTCACTTCAAACTCTGAGCGGGGACCAATGACGCCGTTATCTTGGGACAAGGAGAAGTCCTTCACATCATCTAGCCCACTGAGCTGCCAGGCCATGGGCAACAGGGTGTTGTTTCTCAGGACCAAGGTCCTGCTGTCAGTGCTGCAGAGACAGGAAGGCACTTGGCATCAGCTGCTGGATGGCCACACCAGCCTGGCCACTGAATGCAACTTGGAACAGCTCCATCCGTGCCCTGGAAACCAGATTCAAACGTTTTCTCTTTGTCACAAGACTTAGAGTGCTTGTGGGATGACTGACCTGTGCAGAAACTGCTTGTCAAAAGACAGCTCCAGGGGGCTGACCTCCAGCTTCATGCGCACCCCAAGGCAGCACAGGCTGAAGATCACTGGCTCCGGGTTCTTCCCAATGCTGCAGATGAGTTTGCCTTGCAGGAAGCCAGGGGAAGTGGGGTATGCCCAAATGGTCAGCTCCTGGACATGGCCCCACAGGAAGAAACAGAAAGAGCTCTGTGTGAGAGCGGGAGGAGCAGCCCCTGGGCACTTCTGCGTGCCTGCTCTGCCTGCCCCTCTCCTACCTGCTTCTCCTTTGGTTTCAGCGCCATGCTGGGAGGGTCCAAAAGGAACGTCTCTGCTTCCCCAGCATTCTCAAAGGAGAACTGGACCTCTATGTTCATGGGGGAGTTGTTGAGGATGGTTATTTTCTCCGAGTTGCTGGGACAGTTCTGGCACTTGTACCTGTCCACAAAAGGGGAAAAGGCTGCAGAGCAGACTGTTGCCTTAGCCACACACCAAAGAGAGCACCGTGTGCACCCGAGGAAGTGATGCTGCAAGACCCTACTCTAACAAACAAGAGAGAGAAATGGATCCCAGCCAGGGGCATGAGTGTGTGCTCAGCCTTGCCTTACTCTGATGCCTTCCCCTGCACTTGGTGCCTCCAGCCCAGAAGCCTGATGATGTTCAGACCACTGCAAGAGTTTTTAATACAATGTAAATTCAAAGGTGCCTAGAAAAATAACACTATACCAAGCACATGGGTTCTTTCCCCTTCTTTCTTGGTGTGCCTTCCCTGCAGGGTATAAGGAAAGGCTTTTGAAAAAAGAGTTTAGCTAATTTCTTTCATAAAAGTCATGAAACTGCTTTGGATTTTATGGGGTAGCACAAAGTCTGAGAAAGAAGCATAAAGCATCAATTCCCAAGAGCAATGCAGAAAGATAACAAATGATCCTTCTCTCAGGTGTGGAAATTACTTTGGATTAAAAGGGTTAAAGAGGCAAACAGAAATCCCAGACCATCTATCAGTCTGGCTAAAGACTGTCTGCTTTTTAAACTATTTTGATTTCATTTACTTGGGTTGTCAAAATAGCCCTAGCCCTCCAGAGCTCCCATGGAGGCCAGAACTTAATATTAAATGTCATTAAAAAGAAGTGACAGTAAAAGTAGAAATACACAATAGCTTAAATGACACCAGAACTTAATATTAAATGTCATTAAAAAGAAGTGACAGTAAAAGTAGAAATACACAATAGCTTAAATGACAAAGTGTTTAGGCAGACTTTACCCAGCAGTGAGGATGCAATGTCATTACAGGGAAATGTAATTCCTGCTGTACGTTACCCTCAACACCCATTGGCAGGTCAATAATAAAATCTCATTAATGATTACAGATTAATGAAAGCCATCTACAGAATAATTGCTCAGTCAGGCTACCTGCAGAGCTCAAAGCACTTCACAAACCACCATAAAGTTCATTTCCTAAAGGGTGAAGCTGAAATGTGGAGGGGGACAGAAGTTGCCCCCGAGTCACCTTTGGACTGGCAGCAGCAAGAGGGCCACCAAGGCACCCAATGGGCAGGCAGAGCAGCTCCTCCAAGGCTCATTTGCCTCTTTTCTGCTGAAGTTCACACATCTGTGGTCCCTCAAACCCATGTGTCTCCCAGGACTCTACCAGGGACTGCCCTGGGCTGTGTCTCTGGGACTGCCTGTCTCCCCAGGCGTGTCACAAAAGTACAGGGCCCAGCAGGGAGCACGTACCACTCTCTTGATTTCCCACACATCAGTGGCCCGAAGTGGAATTGCTCTGTGCTTTCAACATACTCCTTGAAGATTATTTCATCTTCCTTCATGGTTTTCCTCCACTGTGGAAACACCAGCCTGGGCAGAGAAAGTGGGGAAGGAAGAGCTATGAGATGCTCTGAGTAGGAAATGTCGTCAGAAAGCCAAAACCCCTCCTGGAGGCTGAGGTACCATCTGCCTTGCCAGCTCCAGCGCAGGAGGAGGTGCTGGGTGACCTCAGGCAGCACGATCTGCCCAGGCAGAAGCCCCAGGGGCAGCCCTGGTTGTGGCTCAGGGGCAGCAGTGGTGTGGGGGCTGCCAGGGGCCAGCCTTACCGTGGGTCCTGGCTGATGCTGGGGTACAGGCTGGTGCCACGGCAGGGCAGCTCGTACTGGCGCTTTGTCTGCACAAGCTCAAACCTCAGCGTCTGCTCAAACTTCCCTGGCTTTTTGGTGGAGAAGTGGACCTTCAGTTCCACCTCCCCGTGGGCAGGCACTACCCACCGGTACCGTTTCGGCCTGGCAATTAAAGAGGAGTCTTCAGACGTTGCTGAGGAGCAAACGAAACAAGGAGGGTGCACTCGCCATCCCGTGGAGGCACTGGCTCAGGGTCACCATGGAGCTGGGGGCGATGGACCTTGTTTGGCAAGAGGACCAAGAAGCAGAGGCATCACCTCCTCCTGCATGGCTCACCTGAGGAATTCTGTGGGCATTGAGGCACTTTCCAGCGTGCTTTTGCTGCTTGCTGTGGGGGAATCCTGGGGACTTTTGGTTCTCTGTGTGGACATCTGGCTCTCCTTTGCAGAGCTGTCTCTGCTGGCTGCTTCACCCATCTTTGGTTGGCCCTCAGCAGAACTGCCCCTCATATCTGGGGCCTCGGCCTAAGGGGAGAGAGAAAAGGGAGGGAGAGGTGAGCCCTGAGGCATCCCCATCCTGGAGAGCAAAATGGGGGTTTCTTCACCAGCAGAAGAGAGAATAAACAAATAAGTCCACCTGCCCATGGACTTGGTCTTCCTTACTGGTGTTTGTTTTGCCTAGGACTGTTGTAATCCTAGATACTGAGAATTTTAAACTTTCTGTGCTAAAAGGTACAGACTTACAAAAGAGCGCTGCATTTGAACTGAGGCTGTATAGAAGACTTCCAGAATTAATTAATAACACTGAAATTATGAGTGTGTAGTTAGTTGGAAGTGTGCAATGTCACAAAGTAAAAAACTTGGGCTTTAAGGTTTTAGAATATAAAAATAAATATGAAGCAAGATAAAAGCTTTAAAGCAAAACCAAATTCTTCACCTTTTTCCTTCTTCTTCATAAATTTAAGTAATGTAATTAGAAAATAGAAGTCCACATTACAGGCTTTGAAAAATCAGTTATTAAGTTAAAAAATAATAACCTAAGTATCATTTCTTAATTAAATAATTTAATTTTAAAAATCCTCATAACAAAAAATAGTTAACCATTTTATACATTACCAATAAAATCTACAAAACTCACAGCCGTGGAAGTATTTCACTAATAAAAAATAATAAACACCTAAATACAAACATAAAATATCATCTCAAATACCTTCAATCCCAACCTCAACAAAAAAACCAAAAAAACAAAAAAAAACAAAAACCCAACCAAAAAACCAAAAAAACCCCACCTAGGACAACCCTTCTCACTCAGGACCCTCTCCTCAAAGGAAGTTGATGGTTTAGGAGATTTTTTACCTCTTGTGGTGCCAGGAGGGTGAAGGGCTCCACACGCCCTGCAGGGCCCAGCCGCTCCTCTGGGTACTCCACTATGGAGAGCACAGCAGCAGGGGGAAGGGGAGGCCCGTCGGGATGCAGCCCCAGATGTTCCAGCATCTAAAACAGAAGAGGAAATCCTGCTTCTACTTGTGTCAGCTTGATCCTCACAACTCCTTTAAAGGCACTGAGGTTTTGGCAGTGGGGTTTTGATTTATATGAATAGAAGTGCTTTGTTGTGCCGGGTGGGGTGAGCGGGCTCCAGAGCAGAGGCAAGAGCTACAAGCAGGACCAGGAGAGAAACCTCTATGGGTATTCTCAGTTTAGTCCAAGAGAAAAAGAGAGGTTTCTGCCAGGCTAGAGCCTGGGAAAGAGTTGCAAAGGAATGTCAATAATTCTCTGTCTGTCTTGTTGTTCACATTGTTTATAGATATGTTCTGCCACCGTGCGTCATTCACTGCACACCAATGGTGTGAGATTTTTTACTTTAAGACCAATTAAATTAGTCTGCACGATGCTTTCTATAAAAAGAGTGGTGTATTTTAAATGAATCAGTTGAGTTGAGTTGTGTTGTTAGAGTTCACATCATGTAACTCCAGCCTTCTGGAGTTCTTTCATTCTCGTCCTGCCTCAACAGCGACAATCCTCTCCCGAGTGCCTCAGCTGATGAAAATAATGACCATGAGCTGCCCTGTCCTGTTCATAATGATTTCCAGGCTGGGAAACTCTGAACAAACAGGACATTTGTACACAGAGCACTGCCACTTCCTGCCCATCTGAGGGATGGCGATAACCTCCCCATCCACACAGATGTCATTGTGGAGCATCATCAGGGGCCTGGACAAGGCTCTGTGCCATTATCACCTGTGGGGACACAATGCTCCAGGGCCCATGACCACGGCAAGCTCAAGATCTGAGCCTTGCAGGGTTTTACCTGGTCCTCCCTCAGGATCTCCCCCATCATGGCCCTTGGATCTGTGACCAGCATGTCCAGACACAGCGTCCTGTCACGGCAGTCTCTGACTGCCCCTTCTGCAATTTCACTTTGCGCCTCCAGCTGAAATGACTGATGACTCCTTTGGCCTCCACAGTTTTGTTCAGGCTTCTTCTCCACCTTCTCCTGGGGCTTATTGGTCTTCTGAGCAATGCACAGGTGGCACAGGTCAGCCAGAGAGACAGGATTTCCAGTCGCTTTCACCATGGGCTCAGAATAGCTCATGACAACCCTGTGATATCCTGCAGTGCAAAACCAGGGGGAAAAGTCAGCCTCCTGCCCACCTGTGATCTTCATCCTCCTCCACATCTCCTCAGACCCTGGGAAAGGAGACTTGGTGAAAGCAACATGAGCTTCTTCTTTTGTTGCTAGGAAGGTGCAAATATAAAAGAGCCAGTGATATTAGACCTGGCTGAAGAACTCATCCAATCCTAGTCTTTATGGCTAAGGGACACAAGGGAATATCGTGATTATTCCCCCATTCTGTCAGGCAGATAGGGGCTTGCTTTGGCTACACTCAGGGTTGGGATACCACAGCCCTCCACCCAAGAGTTTCTCCACCAAGCTGAGGAACAAGCAGCTGATAAAAGCATGGGCTTGCCCTGGAGAGTGAGGTGAGAGTTCAGGGTGTACAGAATGGACTCCCAGCTGTGACCACAGTCAAAACAGACACTGCCAAACCCTCACTGTTTTTCTGACCTGGTGCTGCCTTGCCCTTGTCCTCAGCCTCAGACTCAGCCCTGGCCTTGGCCTCTGCCATGGTCTTGAGCTCTGCCTGTTGAGCCTTCAGCCTCTTCTGTGCTTCATAGTCCTCCAGCACCTTTGGGAGCAGTGTCCCACCCATGGCGCGTGGAGGCATTAAAAAGCTCTTTTTGTTCTCAGACCCCAGTGCCATCCGCAGGATCTGTGTGTGCAGGGAAGAGAAACCATAGCAAGATTCCTTGTCTTGCCTTTTATCTCACACACTCAACAAACCCGATTTCTGTCTCTTCCCTTTCTCCCAACAACACAAACTATTTAATTCCTCCCACAGCATGTCGGCAGAGGTGGCCCTGCCCTGGGGATTGCCTCCATCTCCCGGCACAAGCCCGGGAATGCTGGAGTGCTGAGAAGCTTGGCAGCACGTACATGGGGACCAGACCTGCCTTCTCACCTTCTCCTCCTCAAGGTACTGCTCGTCAAAATCCAAAGAGTAAAACTCAATGGGGAAGCTGCATGGATTCTTCACCACCGCTGTGGCCTCCAGCCCATTGCTGTCCACCAGCACCCATCCCATCTTTAGTGCTGGGGGGCTGAACTCCAGCCGTGGCTCCAGACCTTGTCCTGAGAGGTGCAGCTTTAAGTGATTGCTGCTCCCACAGATGTTAAGCTTCAGTTCATTCTTGTAAGACCTCTGAAAAGAAAAAAGTGCAGAAAACTCATCCATGAAGTCCCAGGTGACAGGACCTCAAATATAACAACTCTTGCCCCAAGGTCAGGGTGTTATCAATTCCTCCAAGGTGAACAGAAACCAGACATTTACTTATGCTAGGGACTATAGCATCTGTGTCCTGGGTCTAGTAACTGGGATGAATCCTGGTGTGCACTGAAACTGGGTATTTGGGTATCAGATGGATGTACAAAGACTGTCAGGCATTTTCATCTGGTCATGCAGGAGTGCAATGCTCATGGGAAGGGCCCTTGGGGTTACAGTGTCCAGGCATTGTCCTGGTACTGCTGCATCAGGCAAACATCAGCTCCAGGAGAGAGGCAAATCAGCTCTCACTGGCCAGAAATAAGGGTCATCTTCCCTGTTTAGTGTTTGGCTCTGGTCCAAGCCAGACACAAGATGGTTACATCTCTCCAGCAATTAAAAGATCCCTGGGAATGTTTGTGGGCACAGAAGCACTTGTGTCCATGCTGTTACACACTACCAGTTTCCAAGACCCAGCGGCCACAGGCAAACTACTTTTGGGAATGCTCCATCCTTTAAGTTGAATCCCCAGCTGCACGGCAATGTGCAGGCAGGCCAGAGCCCCAGAGACTGCTGGCGGCACAGGTGATTGTCCTGCCATGTCCAGGAAGGTGTCTGGTGGCTGATTTGTCTGTCAGTCCTGCAGCAGGATAAGCCCAGACTGGCCATTCCAGGATTATCCCCTGCAAGTGTCTGCGACGCCGAGTGTCGCAGCTGCAAATACAGCCAGGCAAGGGGCAGGCTGAGGGGAGTTGGGCACATCCCCCCCATGTGCTGAGAGGCAGCCCTGGTGCTCTCTGTGCAAGCTTCCTGTGGGCATTTCAAAGCACATCTCACAGGAGGGCTCTCTGGGGTGAATTGAGCCACGCTGAGTATGTGTGGCAGCATATTTCTCCTTGTGCTGCCACAAGTACGGGCTTTGCAGAAAGCTCCCTGCAAAGGCAGAGCTCATACCACACTCTCTGGACCAGGCCCTTATTTCCAGATAACCCTGACAGGCCTCCCGGGATGACACCTGCCAATCTCACCTCCTCCTTGGGTGTAAACCAGATTTGTAAGTTCTGCCACCGCTGTGGATCAAGGGTTCCTTGGGAGGGCATCACTTCAAAGGGACAGGGCTCATCCTCCGGCGCCTGCTGCTTCCGGCATAGGGCTGGTGTCACGTATTTGTGCTGATTATTCTGGGCACAGAAACCAACTGTGTGAGGTCTCCTCAGTCTGTGAGGACAGAACCTCACTTCCTGAGTGCTCTGAGACACTGATGCGGTGCTGAGAGCACCCACAGCCAAACCAAGAGCGGCCCCCATAGCCCAGAGCTGGAGGGAAAACCTATAGACAGGGTGGGAAGATAGGGAACTACTGTCCTCAGAGGAGGAGGAATGGGTGAAGATGGCAGAAAAGCAAAGCATCCACTAATGGAACAGGCCCAGGCAAACCAGCCTTGATCCACACCCTCAGAAGCTTCCTCCAACATGCTGTAGACCCAAATGCTCAGGCAGCCACAGGAGCAGAAAGGGCAAGAGACACAAAGAAACCCAGCCAAGAAGTTACGTGTTCAATGTTGCCTGTGCTTTACCTTCAGAACAGACTTGATGGACCATTTGCAGGGTGCTTGGAAGCGGTTGTAGAGCCGGATGGTCTCAACCTGGCACTGCCCAACGGGGATGTCAGAGAACTGCAGCGTGTTCTTGGAGAGCTCAAGCGACGGTCCCAGCACAGTGGCACAGAGGTGGATGTGAAACGTGGGGCCATTTGTCACCTGGAGAAGGACAGAGAATTCAGCGGAGGGTGCAGGTGACATCTGCTGCTGTGCCCAGCCTGCTGCCTGCCCCAAGAGCTGTGGTACCTCTACGGGCAGCAGCACATCCACGTCACCCGGTGGCTGGTGGGCACTTTCAAAGTGCACTTCAAACGCCACGGTGTGGCTGGGGGGCAGGCTCTTTATCAGGCCTAGGTCCACGCTGAAACCTGGAACAGATGAACATAAAGCAGCTGAGATACATGAGGAACACGAAATGTGCCATAAGCACTTAAAGCCTTACAGGTGTCCTGGCTGAGAGGGGTGGGGAAAGCCCCACACTGTTCTGTGACCTGGATAAAAACTTAGAGTGCACCTGAACAGCCCTCAGACACAGTGAGCCACTGTGATGGAAGTGCAGCCTTGCCTTGAGGCCTCTTTTGGAAGCCTCTTTTGATCCACCAGAGGATCTCACAGGCTGTTTGTTAAATAAAGGCTGAATACAGGTGCTGTGACAGTGTGAACTCCAAACAAAGCATTTCCAAAACACAGCAGACCCCACTGGTTGCCAAAACAAGCCCATAGAGTGCCCAAAGAAACTCGATGCTCGTGGGAGCCAAGGGCAGAGGATGTTGAGAGGTGACCAGGGTGATGAGCCCATCTGGCCTCTGCACTGAAGCGTTAGGGCAGGCACAGGAAGCCAGGAGAGGTCCCTGGGCATGGATGGCCAGGAGAATTCTGCCTCTAAAGCTCCCAGCAGGGGCACTGAGAAGAAAAAAGCTCAAAAACATCCCCAAGTTCAGTGGCTTAAGCTAATCTGTCTGAGACACCTCCTTCAAGGCCACAGGAAGTGTCTCCAGCACTGCTTACCTGTATCCTGCAGGGCAGACAGATCAGCCTGGAAGGACACTGGGATCTGCCCTGGGTTGGTGATCTCCAGAGTGCTTTTCTCAGTGAAACCCTTAAGGACAGGGCCCATGTCCAGGATATACTCGGGCAGCTTAACTCTGCAAGGAGGATTAAGGACAGTCCTTAAACCACAGCCTGGCTGCATGTCCAAGAGGACAGTCATAAATAAAGTGGCTATTTCTTTATTCACTGCTGTAAAAACTCAGCTCAAGCCCATGAAACCCATGGCCTGACCACCTGGCAAAGAGTTTGGTAAGTCAGGAGGAGTCCTGACAAGTCCTAGGTTCTATCAGATACTAACAGTACCTGCAAATAAAATTATTTAAAATGGACACTGGCCACAGCTGCTCTGCCATGAAAAGCCAGTACAGGTGAGTCCACTGGTCCTCCACTGGTCTCAGTGGAACTGCCCAGCCTGGGGTACAGCCTGAGGCTGAAATTGTTTTGGGGCCTAGATTATGATTTGCCTGCACAGGAAATCTTCATTGCTCTGCAACCAGACCACATGATCTGCTCTGCAGAGCATCTGCTTCCTGCATTGAAACCTCTGCTGCTTGTGCTGCATCATGATGGTTACAGGGACCCACCAAGTTTCCTAGACAAGCCCTGCCACCCCACCACGATTCAAGCCATCTGATTTGGGGTTTTAAAGGGTTCCCTTTTCCTTTTGTTTAGTGTGCTCTGTTAGTTGGAGCCACGACATCAGCTGGGAGCTGTCTCTTTCAGAGCTAGTTAGCAGGGACAGAATTTATCCTGCCTGGAAGGGCTGGAAGGTCTGCAATGGGTCCCCTCAGCTCTAGGGACAGAACCCCACACCTGTGGGGAGCTGAGCAGTCCAAAGCTGGGTGAAGGTGCTGGGGAAGGGAGGACACCTCACTGCTCACATGTGGCGTGTCACAGCCACTGGGACCAGACCCCTTCTGGACTCCAGGCTATTCCCAGCTCTGCAGGCCCAAGGAGCTCTCAGGAGAAGGGGACATGGCTGGGTGTTCCCCATGGGGTACCTGGAGATGGGGATGGGAGTCCCTACTCACTTGACAAGACTCTGGCGTAGCTGCTTGTTAGGGAACCTGCCCTTTGGGAGATGGTATGTGAGCCTTTTCTGCCGCTCCAGAGCAGCCTTCTTGATCAGCATTCTCATCATGTTTATCTGCAGCTGAGTGTTTGGCTGAGGAAAGGGAAAAAGTGCCTGGTTAGTAAAGGTCCTTCCCAAGGCCCAGCTTGCACCTGAGAAAGGATCCCACCCTGCTCTTGTTGGGAGGGGGCATGGGGTCCTCCTGTCCAGCTGCTCAGTGTCTGTGACACCTCCTGCTCTCTTAGCCAGGACCTCATCTCCAGGGAAGTAACTCCAGCATCTTTGCCTACCCAGATTCTTAGCAAAGCTGCTCTGGCCAGGCAGACAGACCAGCCAGGAACCTTCCAGAGCTCCAGACACTTGCCTCCCCCAGCCAGTACCAAGGCAGCTTGGACAAAAACTGTCTTGGAAGGGAACCAGGACCAAGCTGGTGCCTCTTGGAGATGAGCACCACCAGCACAGCCCCAGGGCACAGTCAGGCAGCCACTGTTCAGGTCTGTAACTCTGGCAGGGCTTGGGTTGGGACCAACAAACTCCCCAGCAATGACCTGCATCTCCTTCAAAGCACCATCAACTCCATCCCTGGAGCATGGCCTTCAGGACCTCTCCCTGGGGTAGCCAGGAAGTTGATGCAGCCCCAGAAGAGACCATGAGCAGAGTGGCAGCCCTAGGGGCAATGCTGAGATGACACAAGGTTGTAGGTGGGCAGGGAGGTCCCAGGTGCCATCAGGGCACTGGGGAGCTGCTGTGGGCTGCAAGGGGCTCAGGTGACACAGAGAAGGTGGCATGTGCCAAATGGGGCTGCAGCTGTTCTTACTACCATGCCAGAGCTGAGCAAACGGGGCTTCAGGTCCTGAGTCTTCGGATCCCGAGTCTCTGAGGTCTGAGTCTTTGGAGTCTGAGTTTTCAGAGTCTGAGACTTCAGGCTCTGAGTCTTCTGAACAACTTTTGATTTATTCCTCTCACTGTACTGTTGCAGGTGTTTTACAGACTCTTTCAGTAGCTTCTCATATTTTTCATTTTCTGAAGGAAGAAAACACCCGCAAAGAGAAGTGTGAGCAAAGTGCCAGTCCCATTTCAGCTGGCAAGTCCCCACCTCCCAGCATTGGTTTCTTCCAGAAAGAAATCCCTCAAGCCCTCTATGGGAAGTGGATGCTGCTGCTCCTCGCTGAATCCTCACGTTCTCTCCCTCCCCACTGAGAAGCATCTCATCCCCTGCAATGTCACGCAAATCCAACCCTGCCAGAAGCCCTGCCAGTCTCTCTAACAGCTTTCCCAAGCCCTTTACTCTCGCCACCATCCTTCAGGACCCTGCCAGATGTGCTGGCAAGATCTGCAGGATGGCTCCTGGGACAAAGCCCACATGGCATCCTCCGCTCAAGACTCATGAAGCAACCGGGGAGGGCTTGAGTTGGCCTGGGAGTCCTGCAGGCCTCCAGGCTCGGTGGGGTTGGCATGAGCTGCCCCATGGGCTTACGGTCGGGAACAAAACCAGAGCGGCCCTTCCTGGGGCAGACAGGCCGTGCCCACCTGTGGTGTTCCAGGGCAGGTTCATGCTGATCATGGGACAGCATGCTTCTCCTTTCAGGGTGATATTTTTTGGGTCCAGGTCATCCACTTCAAGCTGGTAAATCCTGATGAAAGCTCCTGGTATTCCTGGCATGTAAGAGAATTCCAGCTCTTGCTTCTCGCCAGGTGCAATGAAGCCCTGCAGGGACAGGAGAAGAGGGAGGGAATGCATCAGAGTGTTTGATGGGGGATCAGGGGACACACAGGCTGAGGAGACAGACTCTCATCTGGAATAAACCATCGGACCACATCACCTTCGTGATAAATATATTACAGTGTTGGCTTTCACAACTGTTAAATACAATGTGGTTTATAATGTTGACTTCTGTAAAAGAAGTTTTGCTAAAGTTTAGAGATCTTTTAATGCAAACGTGTTGTGATAATAATGTTGGTGAAGAGTTGTAATATTAACATTTAACATTTATATAATGTTAAATTATAACATATATATAATATTAAATTTATAATATATATTAATTTATAACATGTAAAAAGTATATAACATACACATATAAATATATTAATTTATAACATATATATAATATTAAATTTAACATTTAATAGTGAAGGAATGGAAACCTGTTGAATATGTTGAAAAGTAACAAATGACCACCACTAGGACAACTGCACATGCTCCAAAAAGGTGGTAGAGAGGAGGAACTATGTTAAAATTTTTGAATATATCTAACCCTTTGTAAATATGTATTAGGCTGATGCAATACCCCAGGGATATAAGGGGTGTTGCTGGGTTGACTGGTGTGCCTGTGGCTGCAGCTAAGCACCCAGTGCTGTTACTTCTGCTTTATTGGCTTTGTCCCCTATTGTCTCTTATTAACATTTTTTTAAATTTTAACTGAGGAGTGGCCTTTGTTTCTCACACCTTCTACCTTCCCTGTACCCAAAAGGGCACCATGTGTCGTCCCCAGGGCTCACAAGGCTGCAGCCCCAGCACAGCCTGATGTGAGCACAGCCCTTCTGCTAACAGGCTTTGCCCTCTGCCAGCAAGAGCCTGCCTCAACAAAAATAGCTTCTTCTGCTGCTGCTGGGGAAGGGAACCCCCTGCTCTCAGCAGGGCCAGCAGCTCCTCTCGTCCCTTGGAGGATTCAGGCATGCAGAAATGGGAAAGCAAATTACTTCCCACTTCAAGGAGGGACAAAGGCAGGAGTGCTGCTTCGTCTCAAAGACATCCAGGCAGGACTGAGAGGCTTGGGCAGTGGTGGGATGCTGCTAATCTTTCTCGCTGCTCTTCCAGCCCCGCTCCCTGGCCCCCTCACTGCCCCACAAAGCCGCTGCACAGCAGCAGGGCTGGAGGAGGCAGGGAGCAGCAAGCCTAGTAAGGGACATGTAAGTGGTGCTTAGCTGGCAGTGGGGAGGCAGGGCCAAGGACAATGTCCTGTGTGATCACACCCTGGGTAAGGTGACCCTCAGAAATGCTCCAGTGCCAGCACAGCCTGAGATCTCAGCCCTCAGGGTCCCCACAGTGACTGTGAGGAACCAATTAGATTTTTAGTCATGCCTCAGCATAGGCTATAAATCCATTTTCTGACATGGGGTGAAAAACTACAATAGGGGTTGTCCACGTGCTGGGAGCCCTAACTTATCCCACGTGTAAAGGAGGTTGGTAGCAGACAATGCAGGCCCCCCGTGTCTGGGGGCTGCCAGCGACCTCCCCCTCGGAGGAGGGCAGACCCTGAAGCCCAGGAAAACTTTGCCCGCCTGACCAAATCCTCCTGAAAGGGCTGAGTTATGGGAGTGTGAAAAACACGTTCACTCTCCTGTGAAAATGTTAAAAGTTTAATAAAGGACAATAGGAGACAAAGACCACAGCAAAGATTGTTAGGGCTGGGTGCATCTTGGCACTCAGCCAGGAGCACGCTGTTAGCATCAGGTACACCCCTTAAATACCTTTTCATTACACCAGGCTGTTGCATATTCATAGTCCTTATGTATTTCCATAAACTAGTTTACATATGCCAGGAACCATTTTACATGGCCTCTCCTTGGTTCTGCCTTTTTAGGGCATTTGTGTTTCTTAGCTGGGTTTTGGCTCCTTCTCTTGATTGCTTCCAGTTCGGGCCTTGGTCCTCACTGCCTTCAGACGGTGAGTGCTGATGGTTGGCAGATCTGTACAGGTGTCCTCATCCTGTGTTCGCTGGGTGTTATCCCATCCGAGCAGGCATTTTAACTGGAGCATGGCTATTTCACTGCTATGTCTAAGCTTAACCAGCAGCAGAAATACAAACTACATCTTTATAACAAAGTTACTTTAACACCACACATATAAAATCCATTTTAATATGTAGTATTCACATTCCCTGAACAGAGAGAGGCATGATTCTCTCTCCCAGGATTTTTCCTGGGAAGTTGTGAGACGCAGTGAGAAAGCTCAAGGAAAACAATTCTTCTCTCTATTCACTGCTCCTGTTGTTTGCACATGTGAAATGTGTTATGGAGATTGCTTACTGAGGAGGGATTTGTTAATTAGACATCAGTGATGGCTGTTTGGATTGATTGGCCAATTGGGTCAAAGCTGGACTATCTGCACACAGTCACAGGTTTTTCTTCAGTATTTTTTAGTATGATATAGTTCTAGTACAATATATTATAAGAGGATATAATAAAGCAATTATTCAGCCTTCTACAACATAGACTCACAGCATTCTCCGCACGGGGGGTCACATTGCTTTGATATTAATATTTGCGAAAAGCCAATATTATAATATGTATCTATGACAGGAGGAATCTTAGCATATAAAAGCACTGCCAGTGTTTCCCTGACACTTTTGGTTTTTTTGTTGGGCTGGGAGCACCTGGAGGGCCTGGCTCCCTGCAGAGCCACTTCTTCCCTGTCTCTCTACCCTGCTGTCGCCACTTCCCTGCTCACCAGGGTAAGCTGGTGCTCCGCTGTCTCCATGAAAAACATGAACATTGATCTTATATGTGTCGTGTTAAAGTAACTTAGTTATAAAGATATCGTTTTTATTTCTGTTGTTAATTAAGCTTAGTGAAATAGCTGATATAATGTGCTTGGGTTAAAGTGCCTGCTTGCATGGGATGGCATCCAGTGAACATATGAAGAAGACACCTGTACAGATCTGCCAACCATCAGCACTCACCGTCTGAAGGCAGCCTGGGCTGGGGCCAGAACTGAAGATGATGACAAAAAAGGACTAAAAACGCAGCCAAGGAATAGGCACGCTCCAAAAAGGGCAGATCCAAGGAGGAGCCATGCTAAGCAATTCTTAGAACATGTAAACTAGTTTAGGGAAAAAGTTTACTATGCATAAGAGTCTGTGAATATGCAACAGGCTGATGTAATGGAAAAGGCGCTTTAGGGGTATCCCCGAAGGTGAAAGTGTGCTCCTGGCTGAGTGCCAAGATGCACCCTGCTGTAATAACCTTTGCTCTGTGGCCTTTGTTTCCTATTGTCCTTTATTAAACATTTTACAAGTTCACAGGAGAGGGAACATGTTTTTCACCGTGCAGCTGGCAGCACACTTGCTCCACCTGCCCAGCAGGACACCGACGGAGCGTCCCAGGGTTCCAGCAGTAATGCTCTGTCCCTGTCCTCTGTTACTTTCTCCGTTTCTCATTTTCTCTCTCTGCTCTCTTTTCTATCCCCTTCTGGTCGGGACCATACCTTCTCTTTATCAACAAACAGTTTTCAGATACAGTACTTCCTGCATTTGTGCCTTGTTTTTGTCCGAGAAATCTACCAAAAAGAGTTCTCCTCTACTCCCCTGACAGCAGGACAGGACAGTGACTAACACATTTGTGCTTCCTGCTGGTGTCTGCCTCTGACAGCAGAGCCACCCACCAGCCAAGGCCGTGGGGACTCCATCAGGAGAGCCCTTGTTTGACCTTCTCTGCCCCCCGCAGAAATTGCTTATAGCCCTCTCTCTCTCATGGCTGGGTTTAGGTTTTCACCTCTGAATTTTTTCCCCCTTTCTCCCCCTCCTTTTTCCCTTTAATGCTCTCCTGGGCCACCTGGCACAGGGCTGGGGTCCGTCACTTGTGCTACTTACAGTGGTGGGATCGACCAGAAACACACCAGGCAGATGCTTGGCTGCAGTGCTGGGCTTCAGCACCCAGGTGAACTCAGTCCTGCCAGTGTTCTCCAGGGTGACCGTGCTGTGACTAATTTCATTAAATATCTGGAGAGAAGGCACAGGAGTGGGAAGTTACAGACCCAGGCCTGCTGCTGGGAATCTCCTTCCTCTCTCCTGGGCTTGGAAGCAGACACATCGTGGGAGCAGGGACCAGGGAGGAGATGAGGGCACTTGGGAACCCAGGGAACCCCCAGGCACAGGGCACCAGGACCACGGAGCTCTGGCAGCACACAGAGGTGTGGTAATAACCGTGTGAGGGCCAGCAATAAATGAACCGGGGGACACAGGCCCTCTGCACTCTGAGGGGTCACCAACAGCCAGGAGAAACAGAGACAGCACTGAGGCATTGCAGGAGAAAAGGCATGCAACTATTGTCAAGCAACACACATGCAACAAGGGAGTCACACAGGGCAACACAGACAGGGCCAGCAGCTAGAAATATCTGTGGGCTTTCAGCTGGAAAGTGGGGATTATTCTGGGACAGTCTCTCCAACTATAGTGACTGGAAGCCCAACTTCTTCCTTTGATTATTTGTGGATTAAGCAGGAGCTTTAGACGAGCATCTCCTTGGAGGTCAGGCTTTAGGCGTGGATCAGCAGAGGGAAGTCTCAGGGACACGACCCCCAGGGCATCCCCACTGGGACCCTGCCTACCCCAGGAGGCAGTCTTAGGTACCCAGAAAAAGAGGCACTCCCTACATTTTTGGAGATGGCTATTTTGAACCAGGTTGGATGCCAGCTGTGTCCCTCAAAGGTTGTACTTCCAAGCCCCAGAACCAACAAAGGGGCTGGGGAGGGGAGGGAGCCCTGGGCCGAGGTGGGCAGGAACCTGCTGGCCGTGGTTCCAGGGCAAAGAGCTGTGCCAGGGGCTGTGTGTGGTACCTGAGGGCCACAGTTGATCTCCCAGCAGCTCAGGGAGTAGCTGAGGCGTGAGGTGATCAGCTCCACCTCGTAGGTGGGGCCTCCCTCCACGCAGCACAGTGCCTTCATGCTGGGGAGGATGTTGCAGCAGCCAGAGAAGGTGAAGGAGACCTGCTGGCTCTCTCCTGGCTGCAGCACACCTGACAGCGGCAGGATACTGAAAGCCTGGATGGAGGACAGGAGAGATTGAGGTGTTGAGCATGGAAATGGGTGCAGAAGAGCATCTTGGAGCAGAGTGCAGCTGTACCTGGAGGGGCCTATTCCCCACACACAGCCAAAATCACCCTAATCTCATCCTGCATCCGTGCCACTGACCAGTGGAGGGACCATGGGGAAAATCTTCTCCCATACTCACAGATCAATGTGTTAATTAATACACTACATTAAAGTGAACTGGGATGTCTTCTGGCAGTAGAAATTCTCTCTGATGCACAACATGCCTTTAAAAAGCATTTCTTATTGCTTTTAGAAAAGGAGGAGACTCAGAGTGAGAGCTCTTGGAGCTCAGGTAGCTCAGGGAAGGCCTCCAGCCCCGCTCATCTGACTCCTGAGGCTTTTCCCCCTCTCTCTGATTTGTAGCCTGCTTTCTCCAGGTGCTACAGCAAAAGCTCCTGCAAAAATTTCCTATGGACCACCTGATGAGGTCCAGGGGGAGCAATGCCCTCCATAGGTGCTGCACAGCATCCTTGGGCAGCCCTACACCATGTCCTGCATGGCCCCTCCAACAACCAGTTGGTTCAGCAACACTTTGTGGTAAGCCTGGAGGGACGTGAGGCCCCTCTGTGGGCAGTGCTGGGGGCCACCAGTGGGACTGGGAGCTACAGCCCTGCTTGCCACACTGGCAATGGGTGAGTGAGACAGATTCCCTCTTACCTTCTCTGCTTCGAGGGGAGAAGGAGGTGCATCCACGGAGGACGTGATTCCTGCCAGCTCCCGTGGGAGGTGAGGGGGTCCAGGAGTTTGTGGCAGCACCTGAAAAACAAGCCATTTTCTATGCCAGGAAGGAGACAGCCACTTTGAAAAGTCTCAGTTTGTAAGACAGCTTCAGGGCCACCAGTGCAATACCAGCTCTCGGGTGAGAGCAGACACCTGGAAACAGGTAGTCTGGCTGGGCTGGGAAAAGGGTAGGTGGAGATCAGGACTCATCACAGCCTGCTCTGGGAAGGAAGCTGGAGGTCTTACCATGATGATACAGATAAAAGCCTCATCTTACATTGTGAAGAAAACCAGGCACAAAAATCCCACACTCAGCACAGGTCTGTAGGATCTGAGTGAACTTCTCCAAGGAAAACTCTCCTCTTTCTCTCTCTCTCACACACCCCATACCCAGCCAAGGGCCCTGCTGCCCAACCCACAGGGGCACAGGACAGCAAGGCAGCAAAAAGGGAGGTCAGCATGAGCGTGACTTGTCAGTGGCAAGCTGGGGAGGCAACACAAGCAGTGTGTGTACAAAAAAATCTACCTCTGTTCCTAAAGATTGGGCAAAATCCTTTGCTTCTTTCAGGGCACTGTCTACCTCCTCCTTTCTAATCCTGAATCTCCTTCTATATGCTGAGTAATCCAAACGGGAGGTTCTCTGCTCCTTTGGTGGTTGGGGTTTGAATTTAGGTGGGTTAAGCTCATATCTGGAAAACAACAGAAATGTGAACAGGGATCTGCAGTGGGAGGGAGGAGGGAGGGACACCTGCACGAGCAGCTCCTGCTCATGATGCAGCCCCTGAGTGGGTGCTGGAGTGCTGAACTGAGAAATGGTTTGATCCAGCCCTTCCCAATCCAGGCTGGAGCAGGTCTGTTGTAAAGGCAGCCCAGGGATGACGCCGAGGCAGCAGCAGTGCAGCAGCTGCAGCTGCTTGCACTGAGCACCTACAGAGGACAGGGATTAACAGCTTGTGGGGATGCAAAAAGTGGGAGAGGGAAAGACACAGAAGGCAAGCAGGAAGGTGGGGTTTGAGGCACCGAGGGGCAGACCTGGCCAGTGAGGAGCCAGCCCAGCAAACCCCAGTGCCCAATGCCAGAAACTCTGCAGCTCCACCAGGTATTTATCAGGAATGTTTCCCTGACAGTGTTGGGGGGGTTGGTTGATATTTTCCAACACTCCCAGGTGACTCAGGTCACAGTCCCCATTTTAAATTGAGGCAGGTGCTCAGGGTAACTCTGCTTGTGTTTCTAATGCCACGTGAGGGACACAGTCGAGCCGTGCCTGCCTGTCACCCTGCTGAGCTGCAAGTGCTCCCCACACAGTCAAACATGACCTGGATGCTCCATCCCCAGACAGGCATTCAGGGCCTGTAATGACCTGCTCCCCAAGGAATCACTGCCTTTAGCTTTGTAGCTTGTTACCTAAGGCTGGGTTTAATTTCTGGGTGAGGGGCAGTCTTGTCATAACCCCCAAGAGATCCCTAATTATCTGTTCCACTGTCTTTAGTTTTAATGAATGGTTTGAAGCAACTTCCCAGTTGCCCAGACAATGATATTTTTCACTCTAAAGCAGAAACTCTGAGGGAGGCAGGGATAGGAGATGATGTGATGAACAAGTCCTGCTGTCAAACAGGACAAAACCCACCAGGGATATGTTGCAGGGGAAAAGTCAAAACGAGTAACGGGTCACAAAAAAAGGGAGTGAAGATCCAAGGTGTGTGCTGAAAGCTGACCCCTGGGAGGGAAATCATCCTGGCAGTAAAGGAGTTGTCTCAGCAAAGAAGGAAAGGGAAGGTAACAGACATTCAGCATCAGCCCGGGCACCAGGTAGCTTTTCTCTGGTGTTGGGACTTTCTGGGCATCCTGCAGCACAGTGCAAGGGAGGAAGGCAAGGAGCAGAGAGCTGCTCCTGCAGAGAGGACCCATCCCAAAGCAGAGGGGCCAGAAGGGGCTCCAGCAGCACTGTGGAGCTGGGACTAGGAGCCTTCATCAAGGTGACATTGCCTCAGGCCACAGAGGTCTGAGAAATCAGCTTTCACCCCAGCTTTCCTTCCCAGGGGAAACCCCTATGGGGGCTAGGCAGCACCAAATTGGTGGAAAACCTTTTCTCTGAGCATCCAGGCTGACCACGGCTGGTCAGTGTTATTTGAACAAGGAAAAGCCAGAAGCAGTCTGTCAGATCCTAGGCCAACAGCTTTGTTCTTTGCCAAGTACAAGCAGGGCACCAGGAAGAAGAGCTTCAAGGAGAGGGCAAAGGTGCACATACCCCAGCTTGTCCGCCTGGCTGTCCCAACAGAGTGACCAGTGGTACTTGGTGAGAAGAAGGCTGCAGTTGGTTATCTCCAGAGAGCGCACTCCCTCAGTGCCACCCATGAACTCCAGGGTGCTGGGCTGGATTTGCAGATTTGGGAAGCAGTTTTTTCTCCAAAGGGCATCATGGAACACCAGGGAGGTGTCAGTGAGGCAACAGGTCTTGGTGTTGGGAGAGCCTAGGAAAAGGACACAAGTGTCCATTTAGGCACCAATTATGGCATGACTCCTGGTGTGAATATCCTGGTAGGATGAAAGTGTGATTGCAGTTTAGTTCTTTATTATTTGAACTACAGCTCACCAAGAAGCTGCACGAGGAATTAATTGTCACTTAGTTCCCTTTGACACTGATTCCAGACTGCAGCCTTGAAAATGCCCACTCCTAGCCCTGCTGAACACTGCAAGCTTCTCTCTCTCTGATGGGGAGGAGCTCCCTCACCCGCTTCAAACCAGCACCAGTTATCTCTCAGGGATGAGTGTGCACCCAGACCCAGCATTTACTCTGAGAATTCAAGCTGCAAAATTCCCTGTTAAGTCTGCCAACACTCCCATTGTATTCAAAATACCTAAACAGTGAGTGACATGAGTTCACACCCATTCTGGTCACTGTGATTACTGTTGCCTTTCTTGTTTAATTTATTCAAAAGGCAACAAGTGCCTCAGCAGTGATAAGGGTGGGGAAGAAGCAGCTCAAGAAAGCTTCCTTCCTTCCTTCCTTCCTTCCTTCCTTCCTTCCTTCCTTCCTTCCTTCCTTCCTTCCTTCCTTCCTTCCTTCCTCCCTCCCTCCCTCCCTCCCTCCATCCCAACCTCCCTCCCTCCCCCCTTGGAAACTTCTGTTAATGTGTTGTTGTTTGTGCCGATATATTCCAGTAAAGAATTGTTACTCCCTTTCCCATATTTTTGCCTGGAAGCCCTGTAATTTCAAAGGTATAATAATTTGGAGGGAAGGGGTCATCTTTCCATTCCAGGAAGATTCCAGCCTTCCTTGCCAGACATCTGTCTTTTAAACCAGGACAGGGACACCAAAAAATACTGACTTTCTATTTTCCTTGGTTCTATTTGATCCCACAGTGGCAAATATACTGACTTTCTATTCTATTGGTTCTGTTTGATATCAGAGTGGCAAAAAACCTGACTTTCTATTCCTTGGTTCTATTTGATCTCACAGTGGCAGAATGCTACCTGGGGCACCCGGCAGCCCTGGAGTTCACACCCTGAAGAGGCTGCTGTGGCAGACCATGAGTGAGGGATGCTTTTATGTTCCAGTGCTCCATTTTGGAAGGCACAGATCCCCCACACTGTGTCCCAGCCCAGGGAACACTCACCAGAGGAGATGTCCTGGAAGTTGGGCTTAATGGCATCCAAGAGTGAAGTCGGCCTGGTGACACTGCCCCTGCCGTGGCGAGGACAGAGGAGGAGATGGCTTGGTTAAAGGGAATTCAAGCACAGGTCTGGCTGTCATGGCTCGGGGGTGTAAAGCCTGGTGTCAGGGCAGGTTTGAAATCAACACCCCGCCATGTGCTCAGCACGGTGCCCCTGCAGACAGGAGGAAGCTAAAGCCAAGTGGCCAGCGGCCAACAGCCACTGATGGGGCTTTGGGCACAGGGCAGGCAGGAAAAGCCCCCTGGTTGCTGGTGGTCCCATGAAGGACCCTGAACACACACCTAGACATGGCTCTGTGCCTCAGTTTCCCCATCTGTAATGTGATGGACATAAAGGTGTCCCCACAAACTTCTGTAACCTTTGCTGCTTTGCTACTCCCTAGCTGCAATTGCTGCTCCCATGGAGGAGCTTTCTCAGGAGATTTTGACCCACACAATCATTACAGAGTTTTGAGATATGAAGTCAGGGGAGCCCCAAACACCCTTTGAAAGAGCAGCAACAGTTCTACACAGTGGGCAGATGAATCCTGGAGGAAAGGACCAGCTGGCACAGCCAAGAGCAATAGCTTAAACAACCAAACAGGGGTGTCCTGAATCTAGCACACCACCTCACCTGTCCTTAAACTCAGCAGACAGGCTCCAAAAGCCACAACATCCACTGAAATCAGCACTTGGAGCTGCACAACATCATGAGTTTATTTCATGGCTGATGCCAATCGATGACCACTCTGCCTTTTGGTTAAAAATCAAGGACCAGCTGTGCCTTCTGTTGTATTCACAGGACTGCCACTGGCTCTGCTCTACACCTCTCAACAAGAGACACCTGCCCTTGCTCAAGGAGAAAGCTGCTTGTGCAATAACACCCCATGAGCAGTTTGGGGGAGGGACAGAGCAGAAACAATTATTTGATGGTGAAATGTTTCCTCTTGATTTCCAAAGTAAAAAACCCAGCACTTTTCCTCTAAAAACAAATCCAGCATACTTGTTTCTCTACTATGGGCAGACCTACTCACCACTTTTCTCTTGCTAAGTAATAACTTTCTTGTTCTTTTTAATCCATCTCCCTTATCTCATTGGTATAATTGACTGCAGTTTGCTTTCATTCCTTCACTGCCTTGACCCAGTGCCTCCCAACAGCAGCTCCCAGCTCCAAAGCTCCAGAGCAGCCAGCATCAGCTCTCCTGCTTACCCTACACGATCCTAGCAGCACATGGCTCAGGCTAGCAAGGACAAGCCCTCATGCTGCTGTGGTGCTGAGGGATGAGCTCTGCCTCTCCTATTTTCAGCCCTTCTCCCTTCTGCTGGGCCAGGATTCTCTCTTGCCATGGCTCCAGCCCACAGGATGACACGCCTGTCCTTGGGACAGTTCCTGCTGCAGTTCCTGTGTCCCACATCAGCCCTTTCCCGGCTGTGGAGAGGAGGTACCAGAGCACTCTGTGCACAGGAGCTGGGAGCACGGCTCGTGCCCCACAGCATGGCCGTGAGAGCTGAGGTGGGGCTGCTGCTGCCCCTCTGGGATGGATTATTAATGGGAATTTTTACAAACACTGCTGCTGGTGCAGAATCACCCAGGCTGGGCCACCTCCAAAGCCCTGGGGGCCTTGCTGGCTGTTCGGGGGGACATCCCAGAGCAGCTACTGCCCAAAGCTGATCCATCCCACTGCCTGCCATGGCCCACGGCAGAGGGAGATCCCTGCAGGGAGGATCGTGCCAGCTCCCAGGTACCCACACAGGGCAGGAGGCATCCTCACACTAAGGCAATTCCAGGATCAAAGCAGAGATCAGAACCTCAGGAAACACCTTTTTTCTCTGCTCAGCCCCAAAATGAGGGAGATGTCCCAGAGACAGCCACAGATGTGCCCACCAAGCTCCCACAGTCCTTACTTGATAGTCAGGAGTGCAGACCTATGAGATCCAGCCACACTGAACTGGAATTCTTCCTTAAACGTCCCCAGCACGGTGGCACTGAAGGAGACCTGGATCGTCTGGGTCCCACCTGGTGCAATGATGCCCTCCTTGGGTGCAAACTTGAAGTAGCAGCCCACGTTTGCATTTGAAGAGATATAGGTGAAGGGTGCATCAATAGCTCCTAGGTTAATCAGCTGCACCTGCAGCAGCAAGAAAGCAAAATGGAAATACATGTGGAATCTTCCCTTCTCATGAGTTATTGTCTAATGATGCAATAAACATACACTTTCTAACTTTACACTGCTAGAGAGTTTTTGTCTGTCTCAGTTGGATATCGATATTAGATCGATATTCATATTTTAGTAAGTCGCCCCCAGGCTTGCTGCTGCCTCAGGAGCTATCAGGATCCATCCCAAGTCCTGCTCTCACCTCATGAACGTAGGGGGTGTTGACAGAAACGTTCCCAAGGTTCAGTGTGCGACAGTTCAGCTCAACCAGGGGTCCTTTGCCGTGTCCTCTGAGGCGCAGGGGCAGCCTGCTCTCACAGCCTGGGGAGAGATGTCCATTTCAGTACAATAATTCCCTCTGTTACACTGCATTTTCCAGGCTGCCTCAGTGCGAGTCCCTGACTCTGAGCTGCATGCCACCGGCTCCTGATGCTGCAGGAGAAGATATGGACCCTTCTGTTCCCTCAGGAGATATCCCTTGGAACTGACTTGGAATTTCTAACCCATTCCTTAGGCTGGTTTCCAATCTTAGCCACCAGTCTGCTGAGTTTCAAATACCTCTGATGTCCTGTAGTGCCAGGCCAAGCAGTAATGGGTATAAATTGAAAGAAAGGAAATTTAGGTTAGATATTAGGAAGGAATTTTTTACTGTGAGGGTGGTGAGACACTACAGCAGGTTCCCCAGGGGCGTTGTGGAGATTCCAGCCCTGAAAGTGTTCAAAGCCAGGCTGGATGGGCTTGGAGCTCCCTGATCTAGTGGGAGGTGTCCCTGCCCAGAAGCCTTTAAGGTCCATTCCATCCTGAACTTACTATGATTCTGTGGTTTCCTTCCCATGCACTCAGAGGAGCTCTGAAATACATTCAGTGCAGGCACAAAGCTCATACAGAGTTTGGCAATTGCCAAACTACCTGGCCCAGTAGCACACGGCTTTGTTGCCAAAATCCTCAACTTCTGGCACTTAGCATCGTGTTCTACTTCCACGGACTGAGCTGCCAGGTGACAATTCCCACACAGGGACAGAGGCAGGTGCTGGCCAAGGGTGCTCCTTCACAAACACCCTGGGCTCAGCGGGGCTCAGCCACTCTGGTCTGGTGGTGTCTGGGCAGTGGGAGTGATCCAGGGTCAGGGAGCCCATTTCTAACTCAGCTCCTACCACCTGATGATGAAGCCGTGTCAAATGGACCATCCTGGAGGTCAGTGGCCTAGAGGGGCTCAGTGCTTGTTCACTAAAGCTGTTCTGCTCTGCAGCTCTTTGGCCTGTGAGGAAATGCTGGCAAAGCCATGGCAGGAAAACCTCTCCCTGCACTGTCTGGGTTGTTCTGGGATCAGGAACCCAGACACAGGATTCTGAGCCCTGGCCTTGCACAGGAGATTCCCTGGAAGCTGCAGGGCCAGTGGGGATGTGCCAGCACTGCCCTGCTGGCCAGGGACTCTTCCCAGCAGTTATAGGGGAGCCCAGTGGGCTCAGGCTTGCACCATGGCTGCATTGAGGCTGAGAGAAGCAGGGGAAAGGAGCTGGACCTGAGATGTTGCAGTAAGCCACACTTCGGTACTCCAGTGCCTCTATGGGTTTGAAGGTCACCTTGATTTCAGCCGAACAATTTGGCCCAATTTCTCCCTCCTAAAACAGAAAGAGACAGCAAAACTTGTATCTTCAAACTTCACATTTTTTGTTTTCAACCACAGTCCTGCAAGCCTTAGTTTAGAGCATCAGTGATGAGGGAACAACACAAGGAGTTCAAGGAAACACTCCAAACCCAGCTCAGCACACTGCTGGAAGCTCTCGGTGCTCAGCTGATCAGCTCCCACTCTCCACAATGTTCCTACTGCTCTGACACAAGCCCTTGGTCACTTCATGCTGCTGTCAGCTACAGCGGGATGCAACTGCCACTGTGCACTCATGGCTCTTCACAAGAAGAGAACACGATCCCCTTCCTTGGAAATAAAAATATTTGTTTAACCTGTTTTGAAAGAAAGCAGCAGTGGGGATTATTCTGGGGTTTACTCCAAGATGAGAAGGGATTTTGCACTGTGCAGACACCAGGCATTCATCATCTCTCACATCCTCAGTACTCAGAATCAGGGCTCTGGCTGATGGGAGGATGTGGGGGTTTGCTTGCACAAACAGAAAAGGAAAATGTTTTCTGTCCCTGTGTGCAGGAAAACTCAAAAGGCCCATTTAAACCTTCCACCCTTGTGTCCAAGCTCTCAGAGGACACTGGAAGGGACACTCAGAAATAGTACAAGGCGTGGTTACAGGTGGGGATGGGCATTTCTATGATTAACCATGGCAAGCTTGAGCTCAGTATGTGAACTGGCAGAGCTCCAACACCCTCTGCTGAGCCCCTGCCTACAAGAACTGCTCCCTGTGGACACTGCAGGACAGCACGGAGTGCCCTTGAGCTCCAGCCCTGGCAGCAGAGCTCGGCTTTGTCAGGCTCCCAGCCCTGCCCTGAGCCTGCAGGGCAGAAGTGCTTCCAGCAGGGAGCTCTACAGCTGCACCAAAACTCGATGTCCTCCCTCCCAGCACATCAGACCAGCTGAGGATCTGCAAGTGACCACATCCGGGTGGGAGGAGGGAGAGGGGGAGGAGGAGGAGGAGGAAGAGGGGAAGGAGGAAAATGAGGTTCTCAGCTATCACTTACCACTGGCTCAATGAAGAAAATGTCATCGGAGAACAGCATGGGGTCTTGTTGCACCTTTGCTATCTCCTCCAGGACCGTGTTGCTCAGGAGGGCCGTGTGCTCTTCACAAGAGCTCATCTCTGACTCTGATGTTTCTTCCTCCGTTAAGTTTTCCTGCGACATCTCTGACCAC